GGTGCATTATTAATTGCACATGAACGAGGCCCGTAAGCAGGGACATAAGTTAATTATGGGGACACTGGTTTCACTTTGAGTGAGACAGTTGGCAGACTTTGGAGCAGAGAAAGGGCATGATATGGCTTCTGTTTTAAAAGGTTCACTCTGGCTGCTGTGAGGAGTGTAGTGGGAACAGGAGCAGAGGGGGCAGCAAGGATCCAGTTCCTTGTAGGAAGGCATGGAGAGATGGTGGTGGCTGGGACCAGTGCAAGCAGTGAGAGGTGGTCGGACTGCCGGGGTGGCGGATGGATTGAACAGAGATATGAAAGAGGAGAACACACGAGCAGGATTCTAGATTTTTGCCCCTGGAGCGACTAGAAGAGTTCCCATATTCTGAAATGGGGAAATGCAAGAGGAGGAGGAGGAGGTTGGGGGGACAAGGTGAGAACAAGGGTTGAGTCTGGGCCATCTGGGCTTGAAGAACTCATTGCACTTTGGAGGGGGATGCTGGGCAGGCAGTTGAATGTAGGTCTGCAGCCCAAGGGACAGACAAGTAGGAGACTGGGCGTTGAGAGGTGAAGCCCACGGTGCTGTCTGAAGCCATGAAACCGGATGAGAGCCTGATGGGTATGCACAGAAGAGAGCCTAAGGATGGAGCCCTGGGTCCCCCAGCACCTACAGGTGGGGAGACGAGACCCTGGCCCAGAAGGCTAAGCAGGTGGTCAGCAGGGGCAGGAGAGCATGGAGGGAACCCAATTAGCACTTCATTTCAGAAGGAAGGGACAGTGGAGAGCTCAAATACCGATTATAGGCCATGCAATCTGAGCTCCTTCTGTGTGAGGAAGAGGAGGGGGGGCCTAAAAGGTCAGAGGAGGAATGAGAGAGGCAGAAGGAAGCCAAGAAAGAGAACCTTCCAGAAAAAAAGGACTTGGCCATCTAAGAGATCCAGAGAGAATGGAATGGAGTTGTAAATCATCCTCAGAAGTCAGAAGCAGCAAACTCATCACCAAGCTCATGGATTAGCTTCCTAGGGTGACCATAACAAGTACCACGACCTGGGCAGCTGAAAAAGCTGGAATTCACTCCCTCACAGTCTGGGTCTCCAAGTCCAAGACCTCCATGGTATCGGCTGGGTTGGTCCCTGCACAGGCCGTGTGGGAAAGCTGCTCCAGGCCTCTCTCATTGGTATGTGGACAGCCAGCTTCTCCCTATGTCCTCACACGGTCCTTGCTCTGTGCATGTCTGTCCTGGGGTCCGAATTTCCCCTTTTTATAAAGACACTAGTCATACTGGATTTGAGCCCACCCGACTCCACCCAGTATGACCTCCTCTCAACTAATGCTATCTGCAATGGCCCTATTTCCAAATAAGGGCACATTCTGAGGTCCTGGGGGTCCGGACCAGGCTGGCCCATCCTGGAGAGCAGTGGTCCCCAGTGAAGAGAGGGGGCCAGCCATCTCTGCCTGATGGCAGCTCCCCACTCTCCTCCCCCAGGACACATTCAGACAACCGGTGGCAGAGTCCTGGGGAGGGGTGGGTAGGAGAACTTTCCAGGCCAAGAGCCCATCATTTTGCAATTCCGGTTGTTTGAATGATATCGATGTTCCCACCATGTGTCAGCCCTAAGCACAGCGGTGGGTTTTCTGGACAGGGGCCTGGATGGGCACCAGTGGTGTCCAGACTCTGTGGGTGGTGGGCATACACCATGTCTGTGCCCCAGGGAAAGGACCACCTCCGCCCCTGGTGATGTGGGGACTATGGAGAAGGCGAAGACAGGAATGACACACCCGAGGGGGCAGTGGAGTCCAACAGAAACCAGATACATTGTTTCCACTTGTAATCTTTCCTGACACCATGTCATTGGAGAGCCTCAGTTACTCCCCCAGCAGTCCCCAGATGGGCTGTCACCTGCAGCCAATGCTGTCAGCCCCCAGCGGTTTCTGCCAGAAACACAGTGGGAACCAAACTAATATTCTCGTCACTCATCAATGTGAGGGTGACCACCAGCAGCCAAGGAAACATAAAATAAAATTCAAAACCTGTGTTCTCTCAGCATGCTCTAGGTGACTAAGTCACAGGGACAAGGCTAAGGAGAGAAGCCCAATCAGTGCAAACCCAGGGCGCACTTGGAATATCCCAAAGCAGGGAAGCAAATGCCGTGGGGACGGAGGACTCCTTGATGAGGGAGGAAGAACATGGGGTGGTGTGAGCACAGGGAAGTGTGTGTGTGTGTGCGCGTGTGCGTGTGCATGTGTGCATGTATATGTGTGCATGTGTGTGCAGGTGTGTGGGAGATGAGACAAAACTATACGGCTACACTGTCATTTCTAGATACGAATTTTAAAATATATCTTTTAAATATGTACCTTACAACAGTTTTTACATTTTTTAAGGTCAAGACATCCAATTTCAGATTATCATGAATTATTCAAACTAATGTCACTAAAAAAATTAATATGTTCTTTTATCTGTTAAAAATAAATATAGTTAATACTATTTTGCTAAAAAAAGTACTATGAACCATGTAATATTTTTAAATCTTACTATGACAATGCATGTGTGATATAATTAAGAATTCTACTTGAGAAATGGCACATGTAAATCCTTTTGGGTTTTAGTTTATATAAGTTTCTAGGTTTGTTCTGTGTCCTCACAAACACTCAAGCTTTGAAGTGTGGAAGTAAAATTAGACGGCGGAGCTGCCTGTAAAGATGGCCGCCGGGGGAATGGGTGAGTGGGTGCACAGAAGAGAGAGTGCTCAAGCTTTTAGTCCAAATGTATTCGCAGGCCAAGTGATGCACAGAACAAGACAGACTGTGGTCAGGCAGTTTAATAAGCATTGAGATTTGAGTCTTGTGGACAAGCAGTGTCTGAGGTCAACTGTTATGTACCAACCATGTGATGGTGGAAGGTGAGGGCACTGAGATAAGAGCTGACATTTTAATCTTCAGATCACTCTCTCCCATCACTGCACCCAGAATCTAGTTGGTACTAATCAGGTGTTTGTTGATTGACTATATGGATGGATGGATGGATGGATGGATTGGTGGATGGATGGATGGATGGATGGATGGATGGATGGATGGATGGATGGATGGATGGATGGATGGAAGGATGGATGGTTGGATGGACGGACAGATGGTTGGATGGATGGGCAGACAGGTGGATGGATAAATGAATGCGTGAGGCCCCCAAAGTAGCTACAATGATGGCAGCTCCATTGACAGAATGGCGTACTTAGTGTGTGATCTCTGTCGTCTTTGTCCCTGCATTTGTCCACACATGCCCCATTGTATTCAGTTCCTTTCAAAGCAAAGCTGAGGAGCTGAGTCATGTTCCTACTGAATGAGCCCACAGGAAAGGTTCAAGAGACCTGAGATATTTTGTCCAGACAATGATGTGACTATTTTTAAATGTTTTCAGAGTAATCCCACGGAAACAATGGGGTCACAGCAGGCAGGCCGTGCTGGCTCCTCAGCATGAACCAGGCAGTGGCCCCAGCTCAGAATCGTCGTGGTCCTCACCATCACGCATCTGCCTAAAAAAAAGTTTCATTTAACAATATCCTTGAGGACACAGTAAAAAATAATTGTATTAAGACTTGACCCTTGACTACACAGCTTTTTAATATTCTATGTGACAAAATCGGGAGTGCAGCCTTGGGCTGCTCGTGGAAATAAGGTGGCCGTTAGGAAGCAAACCTGTGAGGTCGTCTGCCTGCAGCTGAACCAGCCACTTTCCATGGAACGTTTCGAGAAAATGACTGACAAACTTTGGCTTTTGAGAGACATTTTCTCAAAAGTGAACCAAAGGAGCCTGAAAGAAAAGCTCTGACCTAGCAAAAATTAAAATTTTGGCAATCTCATAATCACCTCTGTGAGCCCTGAGAGCTTCCCCATTACTTAAGAGTCTCGGTTTTGAGACTAGTGTAGTTATTGATGAATGTGATTTTGATATGATGGGATGTGTCAAATGTGAGGACAGAATTTCTTCCCAAACTTCAACCAAAACAGCACAATGCGGCAGAATGAATACAGAAGCACGTATGAGCATGCGGCTACCTTCCATCAAACCAGACATTAAAAAGATTTCAAAGATGCAGAACGGGAATGCTCTTCTCCCTATTTTGTTTTGTTTTGTTTTGGAATTATAGTAAAAATGTTATTTATGTGAACATATAATGAGTTTATCATTGTTATTTTTAAGTGAATTTAAAATGTGTATTTTAGAAATTTCCCGGTTTTAATATTTATCACAGTAAATATCAACAGCTATAACTCATATAAACAAAAGCTCCTTGAGATATTAAAAAATTATCAAGAGTATAAAAGGCTCCAAAGTCAAAAGTTTGAGAACCACTGCTGTGGACTCATCTTAAGCACGGTTGTCTCCTCTAATCCTTAGATTCTCCATGCTGGTGGATTCGTGGAACTTAGAAATAGTAACTACACATGCCTCCTGAAATTCCTCAATATTAAGTTGCAAAGTCTGCTTTTTAAAATGTAGAAATTATACGGTGACACAAAAAAATCACTATTTGGAACCCATTCGAAATGGAGCCTTAGCCTCACGGAAACCAAAACTTGCCCGCGTATTTCATGCACTATTACTAAATTTGTCATCCGAACAACTCCATCCTTCTGTTTAGTTTCAAAATCCTGTGTTTATCCTAAGTTTTAAACAGGAAGAAGTGATTTGTGCTTCTGTCTTCATTCCTAACTCAAGCACGGAGTACCTCAATAATTAAAAAAAAAAAAAAGAGGGAGAAGAGTACAATCTGTTCTAAAGAGAGGTGTGTCCATCTTGGAGTAACAATTACCTGGAGGAAGCAAACCTCTAGGAACATGGCCGGGTCCTGCTGCTCCTTCGAGGCGCTGTGTCCAGCCGCGAGGGGCAGGAAGCTTCCACCCTAAGAGCACTCCCCCATTTCAGTTACCACGGGCAGAGCCAGCCAGTGGGAAGTATAACAGAGACGACAGAGATCATTCCTACTTGATTTCCCTCTCTTTCTTCCTCAGGAACTTAACCGGCACATTTCCTGAATACCCTAACGTGGAAGAAGGAGGGTCTGCCATTATCTTTTCCAACAAGACCCCACAACAGGTACGGAGATGCTTGAGAAATAAAACACAAATCTATTGTAATCCCATTTCTTTAAACTGTAACCTGAATGGGTTCATAGTGTCATTAGTTTTGGGTTATTCTCCTGCAAATATTTACGTGGAAATATTTCGATGTTTCATCAATTATGTACTTTTTAAAAATTTTTTATTGTTATGTTAATCACCATACATTACATCATTAGTTTCTGATGTAGTGTTCCATGATTATGTACTTTTAAATTTATTTCAAAATGAATTCATTCTTCCTCCTAACCTTTGAAAGAGACGTGACAACACATGGGGCTTACTTTCTTGGTAAATTCTGAGCAGCTTGATTTCAAGGGCCCTTTATGTTCTGGTCCCTGCTTGCCTCTCAGTGTCATCTGCTGTCCCCTCGTCCCCCATCTTCCTTCCATGAGCCCCAGCAGTCCACCCGCCTGCCCTCCTCATGCCCCATGTCACTGTACCTTCAGTGTCTTTCTGCACGTCATGCTCTCCTCTTATCCCAGGCTGGCCTTCTACCCCTTGTCCCCTGCTTCATTCCTGCTCACCTGTCGAGAGTCAGCTCTTTGCCATACTGATGTTCTTCCACAGAAACATCTCTGTAGATGCTCCAGTGGCATCTGATGAAATTGACTTCTAAGGCTGTTTTTAGAGATGTCTCAATAAACTAGAAATAGGAAAACTGTTCTTAACCTCAGAGTATTAATCATAGAAACCAAGAGAAAATTGGCATCATGCTCAACAGTAGAGCACTAGAAGCATTGCTATTAAAAGTGAAACTCACACTCATATACTCAAGCTGATATACTGGACCACATAAAACTCAAATGGCAAAAAATATCATAATTGGAAGTAAAATCATATGATAAACTGGAGAAAATATTTGCAGCATAGGTGATAATAGCTACCTTTCATACATAAAGGGTTCTTAGGAAATAATAAGAAAAATCTAAACACCTCAGTAGAAAAGAAGGCAAAAATGTTAATTTTTAAAACTTTAAAACTCACTAGCAAAGAAACTCAAATATAAAATAATGTTACTATATCTCTTTTCACCTATAGGATTGGTAAAAATTTTAAATCATAATCATCGCTAGAGTTGGTGAGCATGTGGAGAAAAGTCACTCCCACATATTGTAACTGGATACATAAATACATAAATTGGCATGACCTTTTTGAGGGACATGGACCAAGTAAACATCAGATGTTTAATGTGTATACTCTTTGACCCATAAATGCTATTTAAGGAGTTTACATGAAACAAATAATTAGACAAGTTGCCATAGACCAGAGACAACCAACTTTTGTCATAAGGGACCAAATAATAAATATTTGAGGCTATGGAACACAGATCCTCTGCCACAACGACCCAACTCTTCTGTTCCAGCATGAAAGTGGACACAGACCGTAGGTAATGAATGGGCATGGCTGTGTTTCAATAAAGTTTTATTTACAAACTGGGCAGCAGCCCAGATTTGGCCCATGCATATGATTTGCCGACCCCTGCCATAGATGATTGAAACAGCTGTTGGGGGCCGCCCCGTTTATAGCACTGACAAAGAGAGCAGGGAACCAGTTAGGGAGCATGAAGCACTACACAACAGTAAAAGCTCTGCTACAAATCAGGGTTTCTCCACCTCAGCACTCCTGACCCCACGGTCAGCCTCCCGTCCCCCCGTGCTCCCCCGAGTGAGCCATCAGGGTCAGAGGGACGTGCTCTTCCCCACCTCCCTGTCAGGAGCTGACACAGCTCCTCAGCCCTCGCTCCAGCCTCTGGCAGACTCCTGTCCTCCTCAGAACTCAGTGAACACATACTATCCACCCTACAGTGTGGCAGTTCATCAAGCCCTGCCTTGAGTGACTGTCCTTTCGACCTGGTGTTATTTCCCTTTGTTACCCTGTGAGGTCCTGTCGCTGCAGCTAAATTGTCAGGACCAAGCTGTGTCGTGAAAGTCCATGGCCAGGGACTAAATGTGTTTCATGTTAGTTTAGAAAGGTAATAATTACAGGATTAAGCATGTTGGTGCAATGACTACATTGTGTACACAAGAAACATTCGAGAGTAGGGTTAATGTTGGCTAAAAACAGAAGAAGATGAAGATGTCTGGCTAATACATTAAAATAAGACAAAGAAGGCCACAAAGCAGCATGACTTGTAAAGACAGGTGATGGAAGAGTCTAAACAGGGTAGAGGTGATGAAACACTGTCCCCCCACCTGCCAGGTCTGCAGCCTCAGGGGGCTCCTTCCCTATGCGCCTCCCTCCCTGCGCCGATGTAACGATTAGATGAGGTGACTCGTGTAGCGCACCTGCAACAGTACACGTGGAAATCTCGCAGGACATCGTAATAATTGTCACTGAGGGGAGGAGGAGGATGAAGAGACAGACCAAGCATAACCATTATAATGTGTACTTAAAGAGTCAACTTTATATTTGTTAAAAAACAAGCAGTACAAACACTTTCTACAAAGTGAGCATAATCACGTTGATACCAACACTCCCAGAGAAGACCAAATGCAAAGAGAATCACAGATTAGTCTCCCTTACAAGTATTAATGCAAAAATTCAAGCTGAAATATTATCATGCCAAAACCAGCAGCACATTAAACAAGCAAAACACCACAATCAAGCGGCATTTATTCCAGAATGCAAGAATGGCTGGGGTTGAGGATGTCTGTGGATACACTGCATCCTATAAAGAGATCCAAAAGGGAAAACCATAAGTGCATCTCTCTGGATGCTGATGGGGTCTTTTACAAATTCAACATCCATTCTTGATTTTTAAAAATAAAACAAAAAAATTAGAATATAGGGATACTTCTTCAACATGACAAAGTATTTCTTAGTTCAAGATCTAATATTATGCTTAATGAAATTCACTAGAAACAATTCCACCAATGTCATGAAAAATACAAGGATGGCCATTGTCACTGCTGTCCCCTAGGATCTATGAACTCTGTTGGATACAAGAAAGAACGTAGAGATATATGGAACGGAAGAAGCAAAATGATCACTTTTTGCAGGTATGCTCTACACTTAGAAAAGCAAAGAGAATAAATTGAAAACTAAACAGTGTAAGAAGGAAGATGGGGAGTTACAGAGAGCAAAAGCACTGGTATGTACAAACAACGGCCATATAGAAAATACAACAAAACAGTCCATTTACAACAGCACCAACAATACAAAGATAAAGCATCCAGGAACAAACGTAATAATAAATGTGTGTTTTGTGTGAAGAAAAGTTTTTAAAAAGTGTGAGGGATACAAATGGAAAGAGGGAAAAGCACACCGTGTTCTTAGGTAGGGATACTCCACATTGCAAATACATCACTTCTCCCAAACATCATTTGCACGTGTGATGTGATCTACACAAAAACACAGATGGCGTTATGTTGGAGGTAGGGCAGGCCACTCCAAAGGTGACCAGCCTGATTCTAAACTTTAGGTGAAAGTAAATAGCCAAGAAAAACCAGTAAAATTCTGAATGTAATTACACAATGTAATGAGAAGGAAGTAGCTGTGCAGTATTGGGCCATGCTATTAAGAACCCATCGGCACAGATAAATAACTAGAAAGACACATCAGTGGAAAAGAATAGAAAATCAAGAAATATACCCAAATACATATGCCAATTTAGTACATAATAAAGATGGCATGGCGCCTTTCTTAGGTAAGGGGGAAAATTTAATAAATGGGATTAGAGTAACCAGGTTGTCATCTGAAAGAAAGAAGAAAATTAAATCTCTATTTCTTTATACCTCACCCCAGAATGATTCCAGATGGGTCAAAGATTTAAGTGCCAAACAAAACAAAAACAGAAAAGATCTAGAAGAGGCCAAGGAAGAAATGTTATAACCTCAGAGTGGGAAAGACATTTCTACCTCCATTGCACAACCCAGGGGTCGTGGAAGAAAAAAAATGAAATTTTAAATGATACACACAAAAATTTTCTAACCGGCATGGCAAAACAGACCCCAAGTGAAGTCAAATGACAGATGACTCAGTAGGATAATTACTTGTAATGAGCACCCCACACAGGAGATCATTTTTCTCATATATAAAGAGCTCCTACAGCTCTATAAAAATAAAGATCAATAACCCAATATTTTAAAAAGCCAAAGGATATGAACAGACATTTCTCGGAAAAGAAAATGTAAATGGGTTTGAAACATAATAAAAGATGTTCAACATATAAAAAGATGATCAACCCCATACGTATAACAGAAACGCAAATTAAAACTACACTGACAGACAAAATTGATAAATTGAACCTCATCAAAATTCAAAACTTTTGCACCTCAAAAGATGCCATCAAGAAAATACAAAGACAAAAACATACTGGGGGAAGATATTTGAAAACGAATACCTGATAAGGGGTTTGTATCCAGGATAAACAAAGAATTCTTGTGTCTCAATAAGAAGACAATTCAATCAAAAAATGGGCAAAAGACTTGAATAGATGGGGTGGCTGGGTGGCTCAGTCGTTAAGCGTCTGCCTTCGGCTCAGGTCATGATCCCAGGGTCCTGGTATCGAGTCCCACATCGGGGTCCCTGCTCGGTGGGAAGTCTGCTTCTCCCTCTCCCTCTGCCTCTGCTTATGTGCTCTCTCTCTCCTTCTCTTTCAAATAAATAAATAAAATCTTAAAAAAAAAAAAAACTTGAATAGACAATTCACAAAGGATCCTAAATGAATAGTTAATTGGCACATGAAAAGATGCTTGGCATCCTTAGTCTTTAGGGAGATAAAACATAAAACTACAGTGAGACCATTTCATTCCCACTAGGATGGCCATAATCAAGAAGACAGACAGTAAAAAATGTAGAGGGTGTAGAGGAAAAGGAACCCTCCTATGTTGCTGGTAGGAATGCAAAATGGCACAGCCATTTTGGGAAACGCTTGTCCCTTTCTTAAAAGTTAAACATAAACGGAGGGGGCCAGAGCAAGATGGCGGAGGAGTAGGAGACCTGGATTTCGTCTCCTCTCAGGAATTCAGCTGGATAGGGATCAAACCATCCTGAGCACCTACGAACTCAACAGGAGATCGAAGAAAAGAAGAGCAACAACTCTCTCATCAGAAAAGCGACCACTTTCTGGAAGGTAGGACGTGCGGAGAAGTGAATCCGAGGCGATATTCGGGAGGATAGACGGCGGGGGAGGGGCCTCCGTCGGCCGCTTCTGGCGAGTGATAGAGCCGCGGAGCACAAAGTTGGAACTTTTAAAAGTCTCTGCTGAGGTGCAGCCACTCTGGAAAACTGTATGGAGGTTCCTCAAAAAGTTGAAAATAGAGCTACCATATGATCCAGCAATTGCACTACTGGGTATTTACCCCAAAGATACAAATGTAGGGAATCGAAGAGGTACATGCACCCCGATGTTTATAGCAGCAATGTCCACAATAGCCAAACTGTGGAAAGAGCCAAGATGTCCATTGACAGATGAATGGATAAAGAAGATGTGGTATATATATACAATGGAATGTTATGCAGCCATCAAAAGGAATGAGATCTTGCCATTTGCAATGACGTGGATGGAACTGGAGGGTGTTATGCTGAGCGAAATAAGTCAATCAGAGAAAGACATGTATCATATGACCTCACTGATATGAGGAATTCTTAATCTCAGGAAACAAACTGAGGGTTGCTGGAGTGGGGGGTTGGGTGGGAGGGATGGGGTGGCTGGGTGATAGACACTGGGGAGGGTATGTGCTATGATGAGCGCTGTGAATTGTGCAAGACTGTTGAATCACAGATCTGTACCTCTGAAACAAATAATGCAATATATGTTAAGAAAAAAAAAAAGAAGAAGGTAGCGGGAGGGGAAGAATGAAGGGGGTGAAATCGGAGGGGGAGACGGACCATGAGAGACAATGGACTCTGAAAAACAAACTGAGGGTTCTAGAGGGGAGGGGAGTGGGAGGGTGGGTTAGCCTGGTGATGGGTATTAAAGAGGGCACGTTCTGCATGGAGCACTGGGTGTTACGCACAAACAATGAATCATGGAACACTACATCAAAAACTAATGATGTAATGTATGGTGATTAACATAACAATACAAAAAATTTTTTTAAAAAAAGTTAAACATAAACGTACCAAATGAGCCAGCAGCCCACTGTTGGTACTCTATCCAAGAGAAATGAGAATGTGTCCACACAAAGAAGTTTGTACATGAATATAGGGGCATTACTCATAATAGTCAAAAATTTGGAACAGCTTAAATATCCATCAACTGGTGACTGGATAGGCAAATGTAGTGCATCAGCGATGGAATATTATTTGGATTTCCTATAAAAAATGAAACACCAATTGGGATATGCTACAACATGGGGAGACTCAAATCCATGATGCAAAGGGAAAGGAACCAGACCTAAGAGACCACATATTATGTGATTCCATTTACAGGAAACATCCAGACAAAGTGAATAGAGGCAGGGAGGCGATTAGAAGAGACCTGGCAAGGAATGAAGGAAAAGGAAAGACTGACAGTGGACATGAGGGGTCACACTGGGGTGATGGAAATGTTCCAAAACTGGCTCATGGTGATGGTTGCCGGACTTGGTAGACGTACTTAAAATGATTGAATCGTACCCTTGGAATGGATGGATGTATACTATGTAAAATATGTCTCAATAAAATTATAATATATTATATTCTTATAAAAGAAAACAGGTGGTAGGCCAGATTTGGCCTTCAGACACCACAGTTTACTAAAAATATGGTGGCTGACTTAACAGGGCAATCGAGGGCACTCCTCACTTTGGGAGGTTTTGTTATAGCTGAAGCGCGTGAGCAAAATAAATTCACCACTGGCATCTAAAAAAACCCAAAAGAACTACAACGACAGACCATTTCTTCAGCTGTTCAGTTGGCAAACATTAGACACCGTGTCACACTGTGTCAGAGCATATGGGGAAACCAGCGGTCGCCCGCATGGCGGGCAGAGGGGTGAATTGGCACAGCCCAATGGAGGCAGTTTGACAGTATTAAAAATGTACCTACATACCCTTGATCCAGCATTTCTACTTTTAGGAATTTATCTTGCAAATATGCTCATACGCCTGCAAAATTATATTTGTGGGCATTTATGTGTGCAGCATTATTAGTAACAGCAGACAATTGGAAACAACCTAATTCCATTGGTAGGAGAATGGCCAGATCATCCACAGCACACCCATACAAACAGAACAGGGAAGCTCTTTATGTACTGCTAAGAAAGCCAGGGACATTAGTAGGAGGAAAATGCACAAGGGCAGCGCGTATGAGACACTGACATTGGAATAAAATGGCCCATCTATGTTTAATTGTGTATCTGTGTGTACACGTGTACATATTAGTTACTTTGGAAGATTTTGCTAGAGTTGAAAATCAAGAGCAAAGCAAATTCAACATTGGCTTAAAAAAGAGACAAACTTCCAATCACACACCATTTTCAAGCGTGTGGCTGGCGAACATAACACAGCGGTGTGTGTGTGTGTATGTGTGTGTGTGTACGTAGGTGTATTTGCATATAGCTATATAAAATGTCTCTGGAAGCATCTCCAAGGTATTGGGGCTGCTTTAGAAAGCGGATCTTGCTGGCTGGCTCACAGCATAAGAATGGAACATTTCATGACTTGAACTTTTGTAAGTTTTGAATTGTGGGCCACGTGAACGTATTTATCAAAGTATTAAATAAATTAAGTAAGGATATAGAGGAAATAAATAGTACAATGGAGAAGGATTTACAAGATACGCTGAATTGTATGTTCCACAAATAAGGATTCCTCCTTTTTGTAGCTGCTCACAGTTTATACATCAGGTCATTTTTTAAAAATTGTTGGTACATTTCTGAAAGCTTACAAACTTCCAAGGACCAAAAAAAAAATGCTCATGTTTCCTAAGTGCTTCAAACATAAAATCCTGAGCAACCACGATTTAGCTCTATGCGTTGAAGTGAACCTGATCCCCAAGGAAAACATTGCCACTTGGACAAGGGACTTTTAATTCCATCTAGAGACACGTTTTTTATTACCAAATAATGTGCACAACACATACATCACCTCTTATGCTCGCCAGCACCCTTTTCCTGAGCCTCATCATACCGAGAGCTTCACGGGAGCCTAGGGGATGGGTTGGCCTGCAGATAGTGGGAAGAGGGCACGTGACTAATGGCTATAGTGGTGGTGTTTTTTTCAAGTCCAGATGAGACCAGAATATCCTACTTTGTTCACAGTAAAGCTGTCTGTTATACTTTTAAAAGTGTGAACTAAACTCCTAAGAACAACATAGGTAGAAATATCAAAATATAATACTAGAAAATAAACTTCAGCACTGTAGTAAATCACTAATAAGGCATAAACAAGTAGACTGGATCCCAGGAGGATGGTTTGGTAGAACATAGTAGACGTGCAATGATACTAGCCCTTTGGTTTAATTGCATACCGTGCTCTCCAGAGGTAACCACTGTACTGAATTTGATGTTTGTCATTCCCTCATATTTCTGTGTACTTTGACTACATATGTATATATCCTGAAACTGTAGAGTGTTATTTTTTTATTTAACCATATGCATTTTGTACGATAGAATAAATTTACATATGTTGTTCCACATCTTGCCTCTTTTCTTTCTATGTTGTGAAATTCATCCTGGTTAGCGCCTGTTTGAATCCCACCTCAGCACTCACCAGCTGTGTGTCCTTGGCCACGAGACTGAACTCTTTGTGCCCTGTTCTCTTATCAATAAAACGGGCTGGTAACAGCTCGCATCCCTAGGCTGCATTTAGCAGTAAATGAGTTCATCTTTGTGCAGCTCTTAGAACCATGCTTGGTTTATCGTAAGTCCAATGGATGGAAATACTGACTTGATTTTAGAAAATGAAACTAGGAAACTAGGTCCCAGAGCTGGTATGCCACTTACCTCGGTCACATGACCAGTGATGTGACCTAGGGTCTACAGCTTCATATCTCCCAGAAGTCTCTCTCTGCCACAGCAAGTGGGAGCTCAGCAAATACCTGCTGTATAGAACAGATTATATGGGGTTTTTTTACTGAAGAGGTGTGGGCGGGCCTGGCACCCTGGCTGTGGCAAAGACACTGAGGAAGCCATGACCTCCCTCATGTTCATGGCAGCCCTGGGGGCCAGAGCAGCTCTGAACTGGGGGGGGTGGGGGGACTGAGTTCAGAAATGTCCAACTTCCCTCTCATCTGCCCCCTGAGGTCCGACTGCTGCCTCACCGATGAATCCAACCAGGGGCAGGCGGCAGCCGGTGGTGTCCCCACGAGGGTCGACCTCAGACCCAGAGCAGGACAAGGAGGGAGCGGGCACTGATCAGCACAAATACTTCCTCCAGACAGGTAAAACAGTCCTCATCTTGATCGGGCTCCATGAAAGCGCGATGCTTATTTTGTGTTTCTTGCCAGGTTACTGAGGATATTATTGCAAACCAAGAAGAAGAGGAGAAAAACAAAAAGAAGAATAAGAAGAAGGCCACGACATCCAAGAAACCTAAAAAAGAAAAGGAAAAGAAAGGCACAAAAGAAAAAAACAAGGTAAGGAATTTGGAATTTTAAAAGAAATTTTCTTTTAAGTGGCTTCTTTGCTTTGAATCAGTGGCATGATCTCAACTCTCCTGAGATCGCACTCATTCGTTTCCTAGGAAACCGTTCTACCAGCTGTTTTTCAATATTTTTTTATGTTGCTCGATCACCGGTCATCATCCTCTCTATGATTTATAATAAAGACCTATTAGGATAAAGGTGGTTTTAATGACTTCGATACTTTATGTGTTATTCACATATGTGATAGCTTTGACTTTTTATTCCTCAAAATAAATGATCCCCCTCGTCTTTCCTCAAGGTAGAGACCAGGTGACCACTGCAAAGTCAAAATAATAACTACTTTAACCGAAGTGAGTTTGTTCAAATTTTTCACTTCATGTTGACTTATTGGATATATTTTATTGGAAGTTTTTGTTTCTTACTACCCAAAGGAAATCCGAATTCAAATAGTGTCACTTTGGGCCAGGCCTCCCCTTGTGCAGTGGGGGAGGAGGGGCGGCTATCCTAGGGCAGAAACTGGAGGGGTCTTCACCCTCGAGCATGTGGAGAGGTGCACTCCCAGGACAGCATTCTCTCAGCAGAAACTCCATCTATGGGAGATGGAGCTCGGACTGGAAGCTGGAATCATCCTAAAGCATGATTATGTTTAAAGAAGCATGTCTGCACAGACAGATCCTCCTTCACAGCTGACCAAAACTCTGATCTGAATTGACTCAGGAGAATGGATCCTTAAGGGTTATGATCCATCTGTGACTCTGTCCAGAGACAGAGACCCAGCTCTTGCTCAGGCAGCAGTGGTCACATTCCTCATGTTCCGGGAGGTGGGTTCGGGAGAGAAATGGGACAGGCTGCATCATCAAGGACAAGTGATTGGACCAAGGAGTCAGAAATTGTGAGCAGGGGAGAAAGGAGGATGGTGGATATACAATGACAGTACCCAAACTCCAGAACTCTCTCCAAAAGTCTCAATTTTTCCCCCTTGAGAATGATATTCACTGTAGGCTTTTCATAGATGGCTTTTATGACATTGAGGTATGTACCCTCTATCCCTACACTGTGAAGAGTTTTAATCAAGAAAGGATGCTGTATTTTGTCAAATGCTTTTTTCTGCATTGAGAGGATCATATTGTTCTTGTCCTTTCTTTTATTAATGGGATGTATCACATTGATTGGTCTGCGAATATTGAACCCTCCTTGTAGCCCAGGAATAAATCCCACATGGTCATGGTGAATAATCCTTCTAATGTACTGTTGGATCCTGTTGGCCAGTATCTTGGTGAGAATTTTGGCATCCATGTTTATCAGGGATATTGGTCTGTAATTCTCCTTTTTGGTGGGGTCTTTGTCTGGTTTTGGGATCAAGGTAATGCTGGCCTCATAGAACTAGTTTGGAAGTTTTCCTTCCATTTCTACTTTTTGAAATAGCTTCAGAAGAATAGGTATCAGTTCTTCTTTAAATGTTTGGTAGAATTCCCCTGGGAAGCCATCCAGCCCTGGACTCTTCTTGTTTGTTGATTACTGCTTCAATTTCCTTGCTGGTTATGGGTCTGTTCAGGTTTTCTGTTTTTTCCTCTTTCAGTTTTGGTGGTTTACAAGTTTCTAGGAATGCATCCATTTCTTCTAGATTGCCTAATTTGTTGGCATATAGTTGCTCATAATATGTTCTTAAAATTGTTTGTATTTGCTTGGTGTTGGTTGTGATTTCTCCTCTTTCATTCATGATTTTATTAATTTGGGTCTTTTCTCTTTTGTTTTTGGTAAGTCTGGCTGGAGGTTTATTGATCTTGTTAATTTCAAAGAAACAGCTTCTAGTTTCATTGATCTGTTCTACTGTTCTACTGTTCTTTTAGTTTCTATTTCATTGATTTCTGCTCTGATCTTTATTATTTCTCTTCTCCTGCTGGGTTTAGGCTTTATTTGCTGTTCTTTCTCCAGCTCCTATAGGTGTAAGGTTAGTTTGTGTATTTGAGACTTTTTTCTAATTTTTTGAGAAAGGCTCGTATTGCTATGTACTTCCCTCTTAGGGCCACCTTTGCTGCATCCCAATGGTTTTGAGCAGTTGTGTTTTCATTTTCATTTGTTTCCAAGAATTTTTTAATTCTTCTTTAATTTCCTGGTTGATCCATTCATTCTTTAGTAGGATGCTCTTTATCTTCCAAGTATTTGAGTTCCTTCCAAATTTCCCCTTGTGATTGAGTTCAAGTTTCAAAGCACTGTGGTCTAAAAATATGCAGGGAATAATCCCAATCTTTTGGTACTGGTTGAGACCTAATTTGTGACCCAGTATGTGATCTATTCTGGACAATGTTCCATGAGCACTCGAGAAGAATGTGTATTCTGTTGCTTTAGGATGCAATGCCCTCATATATATCTGTGAAGTCCATCTGGTCCAGTGTGTCATTCAAAGCCCTTGTTTTCTTGTTGATCTTCTGCTTAGATGATCTATCCATTGCTGTGAGTGAGGTGTTAAAGTCCCCTATTATTATTGTATTATTATCAATATGTTTCTTTAATTTTGTTATTAATTGGTTTATATATTTGGCTGCTCCCAAGTTTGGAGCATAAATATTTATAATTGTTAGATCTTGTTGGATAGACCCTTTAAGTATGATATAGTGTCCCTCTTCATCCCTTACTAAAGTCTTTGGTTTAAAATCTAATTTTCTGATATAAGGGTTGTTACCCCAGCTTTCTTTTGATGTTCATTAACATGATAAATGGTTCTCCACCCCCTCACTTTCAATCTGGAGGTGTCTTTGGGTCTAAAATGAGTCTCTTGTCCATCGATAGATGAATGGATAAAGAAGATGTGGTATATATATACAATGGACTATTACTCAGCCATCAGAAAGGATGAATACTTACCATTTACATCGATGTGGATGGAACTAGAGGGTATCATGCTAAGCGAAATAAGTCAATCAGAGAAAGACAATTATCATGTGGTTTCACTTATATGTGGAAAATAAGAAACAGCACAGAGGATCATAGAGGAAGGGAGGGAAAACTGAATGGGAAATCAACAGAGAAGGAGAAAAACCATGAGAGATTCTTAACTCTAGGAAACAAACTCAGGGTTGCTGGAGGGGAGGTGGGTGGGGGGATGGGGTCACTGGGTGATGGACTTTAAGGAGGGCATGTGATGTGATGAGCACTGGGTGTTATATGCAAGTGATGAACTATTGAACTCTATATCTGAAACATGATATACTATAGGTTGGCTAATTGAATTTAAATTTTAAAAAATACCCAAACTCCACATAAATGCAACATTTGTATTTATGAAAGCCGACATTTTGTGATGAAAGCCAACATTTTATTAAAAATCCCTTGCATGATTGCAGCCACCCAGCTGGAGGCAATTGCCCCTTTTTCAAGGCTCATCTCCCACACAATGATCAGCAGAAATCTTCCAACTGCACCCCCCCCCCCCCATCTGTCTTTGTCCTTCTCCTTAACCATGTTTCATTGCTGTGAACAAAAGAAGAGAAATCTCTTCCTGCTCACTCTGGGCACAACCCATTCCACTGTAGTCCCCAGCTCAGTCCCCAGCTACCCGGTATGTTGTGTTGACCCCTCACCTAATTCCCACCTTGGAATTATTCCGGGTCTAAAGGAGCTGCTCCATGCAAAGTCCCACCACCCACCCCAGGCAGCTGCATTCAGGGAGAGCCATGTTCAGGTACACAGACCCAGCCCCCTCACTGGGACATTTCTGAAGGGTTCTCCTAGCTCCTGGGCTCTCTGTGGGGTCAGCTGACAGCTCACATCCAATTGCATCACAGCTCAGTTACATTAGCTTCTCTGTCCAGTGCTGCTTCTCTCCCTCCATCCTTGTGGGTGGTGTTCCCAGTAAACCACCTGCATGGCCTCCATCTAAATGTTTCCAGGGAACCCAACCCACAAGGCCACCAGTTGCCCTACTGCTCTGCTTGTGCCCCAAAACTTCTAACTTGTTGCTGAAAAAAATAAGAAGAGAGCTTACTTGGTAGTTAATTTTTAAAGACCTCCTCTCATTCTGCAAGATAATTTTGAAGCCGTGCCTAAGAATAAGGACAATTGGAAGAATTTCAATTTTATTCTAAGCATTCTCTTCCTCTAAATATGCATTAGGGAGTTTGACACTTGCGAATTAAAAATTCACTGTTAATGAAGCTTGTTCCATAAAAAATCTTAAATTATCAGCTATACAATCTGGTCTTTATTGAGTGAAGGTATTTTATTAACTAGCTATTAAGGAGTCATTTAATGATGAACAGTTTGGGACAAAAAGAAAGTTTGAGTATATCAGTACTTATGAAGTAGTTGCAAAGGAAGGGCAAAATCCTTCAGAGTTACTTAGAACTGAATTTTTTCATGAAAAGTACAGGTCTACACAGTGACAACATGATCATAAATGGTACTCGCTATTGAAATTGATATATTTATATTATATTGCTACTCATCTTTGAGGTCAGATTACCTTTTTAAAAGTCTTATTCTAGAATCAATCCCAAGGCTTCTAGAAGCATTCCTGAGACAAGCTATCAAATCTTTGTATGAGAATTGATATTTTGACCTGTAGAAAAAGGCATCTATTATTCATCCTGGTTAAAGGGTAAGGCAGGGGAGAGAAGAAACTAGTTTTGTTTAGCTTACATAACTGACTCACCCCTAACGTTGTTTCACAATGGCACAGCTCTGGGATTATCCTTCAGGTATTTTTATAAACTTGGTCATTTCTCGATTGCTAGTCCATATATAGTCAGAACACTTGGGAAAGACCTCATATTAAAAACAAAAAACTGAGGATAGTCTGAATATTTCCACTCACCTCCATAAATGGAAAATAGACTCTTGTCAAAATATCACAGGAGCACAAGCTTCGTCAGTCCACGAGATGGCTACAGATGAGCATAAGTGGCCACAGAGGGGCTGTTGACAGGGGTTTGGTGGTGCGTGGATCAGAAGACTGGATGGGGACCAGGGACTCCAGGCAGGATTCCAGGCAATCGCTAAGCCCGAGAACCAGAGGACAACTTCAGAGCAGGGACAACAGACACCAGGGAGGGTGTCTGATGTGAGGCTGGGAAAGCTTGGAGCAGCCATGCATGGGGCAGAACCTTCTGGAGAAGACGAGAGTCATCCTGGGGGTAGTGACCTGAGCAGACTTGAGCTGTGTGAGTTGTAATCTAAGGTTTGTGGTTTGTGGTTTGTGGCCGTGGTTGGGATGGCCTGTGGGTGAGGAAGTGACTGAGACAGGGAGATACTTCGGTCCAGGCTGGGAGCACCACGAGACAGGAGGAAGGGTCAGTGCAAGCCCAGGTCCCACCCAAGGACAAGTGTGGGCCAGGAGTCAGAGCCCCTCAGAAGTTTGCATCCATGCACCTGGGAGGATGCATTTAAAGCCAAACGTCATTCACAGGGTCGAGATCAGAGCAAGTGAGTTCCGTTGACCTGGTTGATTTTTTTCTGAAAATAACGAAGAAGGGAAGGTACGTCCAGCTGGTGGTACAAAGATCTGGGCTCATAATCAGCAGTAGAGTAACACCCTTCCCAAGCTCACAAAGACCCACAGTCACCTTTTTATGACCGCTTCCCTTCCCACCTCAACCCCTTCCTGGGGTCACCTCCATCTGCATAAATGTGTCTCAGAGTGACGTACCCAAAACATCTCTCCCCTGACCCTAGTGCAACAGGAGAGGGCTCCCCTTAGACACTTTGTTATTCTGGACTCTGAGGATTAATGAGTGTCCCTGTAGAGTCTTTTTTTTTTTTTTGTAGAGTCTTAAGACTTTTGAACCTGGAGGTGAATGGAAGGAAGTTTAAGAGTGAGAACTTATAGGTTTCAGTGTCCCTGCTCGGATTTCCAATTTACTGTGGGGCGGGTGGCATGAGAAAAGAGAGGGTCTCTGTAATTGTGCACAGCAACATTGTAAAGTAAAATAACTGTGGGGGCACCTGGGTGGCTCAGTCAGTTGGGCATCTGACTCTTGATTTCAGCTCAGGTCATGATCTCAAGGTCGTAAGATTGAGCCCCACATCGGGCTCTGCACTCAGCAGGAAGTCTGCTTAAGTTCCTCTCTCTCCCTCTCCCTGTCCCCCTTCCCCCCCCCAACTTGAATGTGTGTGCTCTCTCTAAAAAAAATTAAAATAAAATAAAATAACTGTGGCTGGTAATCTTACATTCATTTGATCATTTCATCAAAAAAACTTTGCAAACAATTTAACATTTTAAGCATGAAATTTTTCAGTTTTGTATCTGGACCCATCCAGAGATCCCCTATACTGAGATGCTGAAGAACAGAAGCAAAGAGATTGGTCTAGGGGTTTTCACCTTTACCAGAGCTAGTAAAGGGAAAACATAAAAGCCCATAAACACATAAAATTCAAAGATGGGCTTTCAAGAATTAAGCTTTTCATCCCCTAGACAAGAAAAGGAACGTCTATCTTGTACCTTATACAAAAATTAACTTAACGTGGATCATGGACTCACATGTAAAACTGTAAAACCTTTAGGTAAAAAGAGGGGGAAAAATCTTCAGGATCTAGGGCTCTGCACACAGTTCTTAGACTTGAAACCAAAAGTATCCATAAAAGGAAAGATTGATAAATTGGACTTCATCACAGTAAAAAATTTTTACTCTGGGAAGAGGATGAAAAGACAAGATAATGTTTGCAAGCTATAGATCTAGCTAAGAAAGTGCATCTAGAATATATAAAGAATTCTCAAAATTCAACAGTAAAAAAGTTCTTTCTTTTGGGTCTTTGGTTTGCAAACCATCTCTGAAAGTGTTAAGGATTGGCGGTAAGGAGATCCCTGTTAAGAATAAGTGATGGAAGGGAATGCTAGTGTCAGGAGGACATTCCTGAAAACCAATAGCCATCTTTGCAAATATGTTTTCAGTATCAAAATTACACCATTTACCTGACAGGTCGGCTGTGTGGATGTCACGTTGGCTTTAGGAGCCAGAAAAGGAGCGCTAGAAATCCATCCTCACAACTTTTTCCTCTTTGTTATTTTTCAATCCATATGTTAAACCATTTGGAACTATTTTAAATGGATTTTACCTGTCTGGAACACACGATCATGTGAATACTTAAGAGTCTTCTCTATATTCACCAAACTTTGTGCTAAATCCTGGGAAGAGCCTGGCACCCACATACAGCATCATTAGCTTTAAAAGCTTCTGTTTGTCTGTGGGGCCACCCAGCCTTTCTGTGACCCCAGCGCCCCTTCTCCAACCACCTGGCGCAAGGAGGTGCTCCATACTGAACCACTGAGCCAACCACGTTCTTATATTATTTTAGAGGATTTCAAACGAAATTCTGTACTACTTCACAAAGATGGAGATGTGAGTGTTGTGAATTCCCGGAGGCTGTTATCAGGAATAAGGATGTCATCTTGGAAACGTCCGTATTGAGCATATTCTGTGTTCATTGAAGGGCAACGAGAGAGGAAGATAAGAGGAAGTGAGCAGCTGCCGAGCTCCAGAGGAGACAGGCATCCTTAACCTCAAGGAACAGAGACCCCAAGGATAGACTCCCTGAAATTGTATGTAAACGTTTACATGAAAATGCATTCCTTAAGAAGGAGTGTGAGTTTTCTTCACATTTCCTTCTACCTCAACCACTCAAAAACCACTGCTTCCAGAAAGGAACAGTGGTCTAAATCCCGAAAAGGCATGAATAACTTTGATTCTTAATCTCAATGGAACTGAGAGAAAAGTGTGGGCAGAAAAGTAAAGTGACATTCTAAATGCAAGTTTGAAAATAGAGGATGCTTAATTTTTTTTTTTTTTTTGCAATGAGCTATCACATTATTTTGGTGCATTTTTTAAAAAAATGTGGTTAATAGTAATGAGAGCTCCTGGGTTGATTTTCACTTCTAGATCTAGAATTGGAGTATAATTTCACTCCTAGTTGAGTGGAAAATAATCAGCCTCTTTCAAATCACAGTAACCCCTCCCCCAACCTGGAAGACACAGACCCTAAGGGAACAATCAGATTATCTGAAAGCCACTGAGTGACCAATCTGACATTTGAACCTATATGTTCAGAGGTATTTGCCAAATGCCCACACTTTAAAAATGTAACAGAGGTGGTCCTATTTGCACTTTGCCACGTGCCCATTCATGTGAAGGATCCCCGGTTGTCCTGTGCTGGGATTCTCGGACTCTCACTGACCAGGCTTTGGGACCCCCTCCTATTACGTCACACTCCCTTCCCCACTCCACTCCAGAATTGGGTGCCAGGAACTATAAGCAAATCCTACGCAGTACGGAGAGAGTCTTTTTCATCTGGAAGAATCCAGAACAGCTTCACAGAAAAGGACATACTCACCTCAGACCAAAGAGCAAATTTCCACAAAAGAAGATGGGAAAATGGAATTCTGATGAGAAACAAGATGGGCACCTCCACCTCCCCTCCAGCCTTTCCTTACTTTGCAGCCAGCTTGATGTCCCTATAAGCGGCTGGAGGAAGGTGGGAAGACTCAGGCTGGGAATCAACTTTCAGAGCAAAGAAGGAACCAGAACATCAGACAACAGGACCAAACTCAGGGCGTGGGGTACCCCGGGAGAGGTGACTGAAACAGGGGCACCTCAGTGAGCCTGCAGGCGGAGCTAAGTTTCTAGAACCATCCATGCCCTGGTTGGTGGACGCAACATGCCCTGCTCAGACTGGCCAGCAGAGAAACTGCCCAGGTGGGTGGGCAAGGGGTCGGACCTTCGCTCATAAACCAAGAAAGAGCCTGTGTGCCTTACCTTAGTCCAATCATCAGGATGTGTGTGCCTTGTACTGTCTAGTCAGGACAAAGTAGCCCTGTAATTAACAGAAGTATCATTCTTCTTTAACAGGAAGAAGATGAGGGCTGGAAAATGTCACCAAGTGTCTTCCTTTCTATGATGGAGGAAGGAAATAACGTGTACAAAGGTTGGTTTAGGAGAATATGCGGGGCAACTGGGAGTTACCCGGTCCGCCCAGCATGACCCCTGGCCCTAGCACCCAGCCTGTGTGGGGAAGAATTAGGCGCTCAGTCGGGAGAGGCTGAAAACATGCAGCTCATAGCCCGGACTTCCTGTCCATCTCTATTTTAAAATTCCTTTGAGTCGCCTAAAGGCATAGGATCGGTAAAAAGAGCCAGGTATGAATAGTACGAGAACACAATCGAAACCTCCATTCTGTTTTCGAACCCGTAGGACTTCACCTGAGCATTCTCTTGCTGGGAATGAAAGGGATTGTCCTGGATTGTTTAAATTAATAAAATCAATACCAGATGTACAATAAAATGTTTTAATCCTGTAAGACCAAGACAGATGCCCGCAGACCGACACATAATTCTTTTGTCCATTGTTCAGCATAATTAGCATAGTAGCTAGAATCTGAGGGGAGCTGTAAGTGTAGGAATTGGTCTTTCTCACATTCCTATTACAATTTACTGGAACAATTATCCAGCTCCTTTGGCTCCACTCCACCCTCAGGATGAATCCCAACACAGGATGACCTGCCACGATGACCCCGCTCATTGGTGCTTTTTGGTAATTCCTAAAAACTGCAACAAGGATGTGAAGTAGAATATTTCCAAACGTCAGTCATGCATGTGCTTTCTCCCTAATTCTGGTCTTATCTGGACAGCACTGGTACTATTAATTACTTAACATATTTTTTCACAGACTCGTGGTTTTTATCCCCAATAAATTGAGCCTCATCCTCAGCAGCAATATCAACGACATTTCAGGTTTGAGATGCTCGTTGTATAAAATAAAAACATCTGTGCACCACCTGAACTTCTTTCACTTTCCACTAGTGGTGAGGGTCCCACCCTGCACACGATGCTGAACGAGGGGGTAGGGGACAGGGGACATCAGCAGGATTTGGCAGCTGTTTTAATTGGGGAGGAAGGAAGTCGAAGCAGTAGCCTCACGTTATTAGATACCCAAGGCACACAAGCCTTTGTGTTTTCCATGCTCGTCTCATTTGATCTTCAGAACAACCGGGAGAAGAAACACAACTATCCCCCTATCAGCAGGTAGTATTAGAGCACATGCTGCCACTCCAGTTTGAGAAGTCAAATCGGTTTTTTTAACATTTTATTTAAATTCAAGTTAGTTAGCATACAGTGTATTATTAATTTCAGGGATAGAGGTCAGTGATTCATCAGTTTCGTGTAACACCCAGCGCTCATTCCATCATGTGCCCTCCTTCATGTCCATCACCCAGTGACCCCCAACCCCCTCATCCACCTCCCCTCCAGCAACCCTCAGTTTATTGCCTATGGTTAAGAGGCTCTTATGGTTTGCCTCCCTCTCTGGTTTCATCTTATTTTATTTTGCTTTCCCTTCCCCTACGATCCTCTGTTTTGTTTCTTAAATTCCACATATGAGTGAGATCATATGGTATTTGTCTTTCTCTAACTGACTTATTTCACTTAGCATAATACCCTCTAGTTCCATCCACACTATTGCAAATGGCAAGATCTCATTCCTTTTGATGGCGGAGTAATATTCCATTGTATATATACACCACATCTTCTTTACCCATTCACTGGCAATGGAATCTGGGCTCTTTCCACAGTTTGGCTATTGTGGACATTGCTGCTATAAACATTGGGGTGCATGTTCCCTCAAATCACTACAAACCAGACACATTCACTCACTTACATATTCACTCAACAACCACTGTGTCCAATGTGCAAGGCTACCGTGAAGATACAAAGACGGCACGCACCATCAATCTACAACATACTCGGTGTGGTGAGGTGGATGAGGTGGGAACAGGGACACAAGCTGAGTGGCTTGTGCGAATTAGGCTGGCAGCAACAACATCCAAGGCCCAGCTAGGAACCGCACGCATCCCAAGGCAGGGTCACTGGCGTGCAGTGGATGCCACCGGAACTCAGGTGTGTCTGCAACAGGAGGTGCCCTTGTTCACATGCTACTTTGTGCCCCATTGCTTTTGCTCTTTACAGCCACCCTCATGTTCATATTCTACACATCTGTCACCAACCTCCACGGTCGTTGTTTGCACCTCTGAACAGATCAGGTCATTGGCCAGTTCATGTTCTGCTGAAGTCCTCCCTCGGGCAAGTTTTCCTCAGCATGTGGAAGGCCTGGCTGCCTTCTCCTCGGAAATAACTATCAGGAGAGAGTAAGGGGAAAGACAGGTCGGTGAGAGACAGCCAAGCCCTCCTCTGCCATAACAGGGAGTCAGGGGCTCCTGTCTCAAACTCATAAATCAAGAAGGAGCAGTGTGACCACATGACAAGCATATGACAACAGAAACACAGATCCAAGAGCTCTCAGGAAGCTAGACCACCTCACACCCGCCTCACACCCGCCTCACTCCTGCCTCACTCCCGCCTCACACCCACCTCACTCCCGCCTCACACCCACCTCACTCCCACCTCACACCCGCCTCTCGTGGGCTCTGTGCTCTTCCGCCAACAAGCCAGTCACTCCCACCTCAGGGACCTGGTACTGTCCATTCCTCTTGCCTGCAGTCCTGGTCCCTGCAGGCCTTCCCCGAGACCTTTGTGGGGTAACAGTCTCCAGCCTCACCCTGTGCCCACCTGGCTTTACTGGCCTCCAGCTGACGGGGATGTGGGTGTCCCTGCTTCCCCACCCCAGATGTCAGGGCCCCCCGCTGTCTGCCCACTCTGAGAGCAGTGCCTGGCCCACAGTCAGGCTCCATCAACTCATGATTTAAACTTACGAATAAATCGGATTTGCAGATAAATCTGAAACTATTCCACGCAATTTTAAATGAATGAATGAATGAATGAATACAGGAATGAATGTCGTTGGACAGTTTCTCTGGAGGGCAGAATTAGACAGTATTTTGTCATAATCCTTTCCATATTCTCCGACTTGGTCTAAAACAATGTGCGTGTATTATTTTGATAAAAACAAAAATTAACTTGGGGAAATCTGATGTTCTCGTGGGAAGCCAAGGCTGGTGACCTGCTGACCCACTCAGGAAAGCTCTTGAGGCTTTCCACACCGTTTGTGTAATATGTTTCCATTACGCTGTTTGTAGAATATCTGTTTCCATTAAGGCTAAAAAAAAAAAAAAAAAAAAAAGAACCTAAGCGGTGGTCACTTGGGAGCAGGAAGCGTGAAGGACCATTTTCCTAGCTGGGTTTGTGGCGTTTCCTGTGTTATCTGCCAGGTCTCTGGTCATTTAAAGAAATTAAATGTCTTCAACCTAGAATTCTTTTCTCAAAAATCAAAGGTTTTCCTTTTCAAAAAAGACATTAGCATTTTAATCACCCCCCTACGTGAGAAACTGCCCCGGCCAGCTTTTCACACTCTGGGGATGAAAGCTCCTGGGGCAGTTGTTAGTGCTTTGAGGGCCCTGAAAAGCTTCCTGCATTTGTAAATGTCCATGAAATTCTTGAAGGGATTGAGAGGTGCCCCGTGCAGAAGTGTCATGAGAAAAGCAAAATTTCCGCGCAAAACCAGGACCATTCAAAGGGCGGTCGAGGTGAAATCAGCAAAGGACACTAAGCACTGCTTTATTTGTGAGACACAGTTACAACTCCAGAATGAGAATTTGTTACGAGGTGCTTTTACATAAATAATCGCCTCGTGTTCCTTCCTGTTCAATATTCTGCGTCCCCTTCTTTAGGAAATGCACGGCTTCCAGATTTTGGCAAGTCTGTCTAGTGAGAAAGCAAAGTAGCTTCCTCGCCACCGCAAAGCTATTTTGCTGTAAAATATCTTAATAAAAACAGGTGAGCTTTGCTGTTGGAGATTTAACGATCGTGTAAGGGGGACATCTGTTAAACAAGAGTTACTGGTAAATAGCACTTTTTAACACGTTTAAACCCTTCATAGTATTTTCAAGGGGGAGAGCTTACAATTTCAAACACGTAAGGAAAAGTGTTGTAGTTTTCATACATTTTAAAGTTTTCCACAATTTAAGTTCATGTGCATTTCAGAAAATGCTCTGAGAAAGGACAGTTACCTTCAAATGAGGGAAGTGTAAACTAACTCTTCCTTGGGTGAATACGCACCTTACAGACCAACCACAAAATCTACCTGCTAGGGGGATTCGGGGCCAAGAATAAATTCAATTAATGACTTAAAACACATTTTACATCAACGGGCTGATATAGGCAATTTATGCCATGCAATATTTCTCATTCCCTGACTGTAAAACACAGGATAGGCCTCTCTGGCTGGTACTCAGTCACAGAACTGATTATTTAAAATAATAAAAATTCAGCTCTTAGCTTTCTAGCAATTTCCTGTGTGCCCACTCCTGTGGGGGTGGCCTCCATCCCATCTTTTTTGGGTCTTCTCCCTCTTGGTCTTCATGGAGATGTGAACTCCATTCCAGGCTGGTCACCTGCCCCGTCAGGTGATGACATCCTCTGGGGTCATCCACGGACAGGCAGGCATCCAGGAGACAGGTGCCAAACCCACTCCTGGCCCCATCATCCCTTCTTTGCCCCAGAGGCAGGGCCACCTGTCACGTGGCCACCCCGATGGGGAAAGACACATGGGTGACTCGGCTCTATGAAAACTGTGCCATGTTTGTGATTTAGTTCCTTTCTATTTCTTGTAAGTCTACAGTAGCCACCCCAAAAGAACTGGGGTCCTTTCATCATCCTTGGTTTCCAAAATCTGTCCCCCCAGGTTTGCACCACCATAGGCTGTGACCATGGCAGAGCCCTACCTGGCCACGCCCACCTCGGTCCTCTGATGGGAAGCGGGGGGAGCCTGAGAGCCCTTGCTGGACCCGGATTCCAGAGGGGCTCTGTTCTGGCCAACACCCAGCCCCACACTATGCACCGGGAGTGAGGTGGGCCTGCCTGACTTGTGTGGGGCAACATCTTCTGGTCACCATCTCCACTTCTGGAAATTTCCATGCCAACCACTGGGAGCATTGTCAGGTCTTCTGCCTGGGGCTCTCACACTTTCGGAGAACTGGAGCTGCATTTCCACGTCCCATCTTCCTGTAGTTTTCCCGTCCACAGGGTCCTGACCGATCACCTTGAGACGACACATTCACCGGCCCTCAGGCACCCATCCGTCACTTCCACTTTGCTGACAGGTGTCTGCTCTGGGCACAGCTGTCCTGCAGAGTCCCCCTGCCCCTCAGGAAGTAGGAATTGTCAATCAGGAGGATGAAAACCATAAGACGAACAGCCGAGAAACAGTAGGATGGGGGTCCACCTGACCCCAACCGTGGGCTGCATCCCCTGGGCAGACATCAGATGGCCAAAACCCTTGGGGCAATTTTTTGCCCATTGGCCAGGTTTGAGTTGTGCATCAGAATCTCCTTGCTATGCTGTCCATCTCTCCTGGATCTGCAGCTTTTCCTGGGTCACACCACATCTTGTCCCTTCTTTTGTCTTGGTCTCTTTTGCTGACCCCAGACCCCTGTGATTGATTTGCAGATTTGACCCTTCCCTCTCATTTGTTTGCCCAGGGGTCTCTCCAGACACCTTCTCCACTTTCAGTCCTCATGATTGACACCCCTTGCTCTCGACAGCACCCAGATGTATGTTTCTGTCTGTGTCTGTGACTGTCCCTCCCTTCTCAGTCAGCTGCGTCAGGGGGACACACTCCTGGCCAGTCTCAGGATCCCCCTGCTGTGCCCATAAGGGAGGCCATGGTTGAGAAAACTCTGCCCATTCATTCACATGCTCACTGCCAACCAGCCCCGCACAGTCCCCCCTTCTTCCCAAGTGGTAGCCAACATTGGACAGGGGTGGGGAGCCTCTGCCTGGTCCCTGTGGCCCTCCGTTGCCTCCCCAAGTTGAAGGGCATCACTGTCCTAAGGATGAGCTCCCAGTGAAGTAGCCAACTTGCATAGGGGTTGCAGGTTGAGTTCTGGCAAGTTTCCATCACATTCTGAGCACAGATTCTGGGAAAAGATCTCATTTCCCAGACTGACAAGTCTCATTTTCCGTAGGACACCACCCCACATCCGAGTGCCAGGATCCCGCTAATCTGTACCTTGGCCCACATTTGGAATTCCCCCTCTGAGAAATGAGCTTTAGTTCAATTTTTTCCAGTGATACAAAATTATCCTTATTTCCTCCAAGGTCACGTTTCTCTAACTACCCTCTTCACTGCCAGGGCCAGGCAAAAGGGAAAGGCAAAAGGGAAATGTAAAACATGTATGATTTCAAACACATCCAAAAAGTAATTCAAAAATATAGCTGTCAGGGGGAAGTCATGGGTACTTGTATGTTCAGGGCTGTCTTTTAACAAGGGGCTGGGGTCAATCACAGATGGGTTCAGCTAGCAATAAAATCTTTCACATTTTAGTGAATCATGGGAATAATGAAAGTTATATAAAACATATTACAAAAATAGTCATCCCACATTTGTCTAATTATATAATCCCACAATTAATGTATTGTTTTTTACATGGTTATAATCATAAGAAGAATATTACTTGTATCCTACTTTTTATTTTATGTTTTCACATTAGTAGTTTTCTTCTTCATCTATAATAATATAATATTATATGTTATATATTATTATATATCTCTCTCTCTAAAAAAAGATATTATACAAGCACATTTTTCCCATTTGGGAAGTTGGGGGGGAAAAAAGCACATGAGTCTCATCACTCTGCCATCAATAATTTCTTGATTATTTTATTCAAACTTGTATTCCACGCAATAGAATAGAACGTTAGACTTGTGTTTTATATTGCAATAACTGTTTTCGTTCATCTTCATGTTGAAAAAAAATTCATTTTCCTTTCCTTGATCCTTCCGGACCCCAGGCCTGTGGAAGAATAAAGACGAGTCATGGAATTTCCCCCAGGACTATGACCCGGAACTGATCAAACAGGAGAAACGGAAGGAACTGGAGTCGGAGATCAGAGTGCAGGTAACACCGCACTTACATTGCACGAAAACAAATCATCAGCGGCCGCCATTGGGCTTCTTCACAATTTCCCATCCATGGCCAACCCAGATTTTACGCTATTTTTAAACTTCACAAAGAAAACACAAGGCTCACAGAGTCACTCAAAAGTGGTGTGTTTTGTTCTCGCCTAGGTGGATGAGCTAATGAGACAGGAACTAAAAAACTTGAAACTGGCTGTGGACAGAAAAAAGGAGCCTCCAGTCAAAGCAGCAAAGAAGAAAGGAGGTAAAATGGTGAGTAGCAAGCGAGCATGGGAGGGATGAGGCAGATACAGACTCGAACCACGGGCAGGAGAGCCGCCCAGGTGCCCAGTGCTGAGTCTGGTGTGATACCTGGCACAGGGAAATGTCTCCCTTGGGGGGATGTGCCTTGTTCCACCAGGTAGTCCTCAGGGATATGGGCTCATAAATGGGATACATCCAACAGTCTGAGTGTAACCCGCCCCACCCCTCCTCACTGCAGACTTGCATTACCCAAGCCCCACAGATAGGATGAGGAGCATCAGGGAAGCCAGTGGTGTGCCTGGAATAGCTGCCCCTCTCTCCCTGTAGGGAGATCTGTAGGGGAGGCCAGTGGCAATGAGCAAGTTCTTTGTGAATAAAGGATCAGATGAATTGAATTTTAAATTGCCACCAATCCATCTCACAGTGTTTGGGAGTAGCCAGTTAGATCCCAATATGCAAAGTTCATTTACTGGGCCCTGTGAGATAATAGAAAATATATATAGGTCTTTGCCTCCAGTTCCTGGCACAGAGCTCCTAAAACCCTTGTAAATCCTTTAGTCATGAGAGTACTTGGAGCATATTTGTTCTAATGAGACAGCTCAATGGTTGTGCCTGCGTGAGGAAGCCTCCATGAAATCCCGATAATGTCAGGAGGGTGAACACATGCACAAACCAGGAGAGTGACCACCCCGACTCCACAGGGACAGAAGCTCCTGCACTCGGGACCCTCCCAGAACTCACCCTAAGTACCACTTTGTCTGGCTGTTGGTCTGTACCCTTTATCACATCCTCTAGTAAACTGGTGAACGTGAAGTGTTTCCTTCAGTTCTGTGAACCACTGTAACAAAGTAATTGGACTCAGGGAAGGGGTCGTGGGAACCTCAGGTTTATAACCAGTAGGTCAGAAGCACAGGTGAGAACACGGACTTGCGATTGGCATCTGACGTGGTGGGCGGGACAGAGCCCTCGGCCTGTGGGATCTGATGCTATTCCTAAGTGGATAGTATCAGAATGGAGTCAAATTGTAGGACACCCAGCATTGCTTGGTGCAGGAAACCCACACACGCACATCTGGTGTCAGAAGGGTTGTGGGTGTGGTAGTCACGTGGGAGCAAAGGAGACATGCAAGAGGAAAGAACTGGCTTTTTCCTAACCTAGGCCCCTACTTCCACTTTCATTCCACAGCCAGCCCTGCCCCTGGGGCCAGAATCCTCCAGGGAGAGGCCAGACTTGCCCTCCTTGGCAGTGTCAGCAGGGGGCAACCTTTGCCCCTTTGATGGCTTTCTCAGGGTTCCGTGGCTGATCAACCCTTCTTGCAATTCACGTACTCTTAGAGCTTTTCATACATCCAGCTCCATGAGTGTCTAGTCCAGCCAGTCCCTTTAGGATGACGCTATCCCAATCCATTTTGTGTTGAGTTTACAGTTTCACAGCTTAACTCTGACTTTTCAGTTCGACACCTGAATGTCCTTCATAGCCCTCCTTGAGGATACACCCCTGAAGCCTAATGAGGGTCATCTATAGGTTATTCTCTCACTAGTAGGTGAGGGCACTTATTGATGACACCACTGATCCAATTGATGTCTTGCATATCTGCATGAAAACGTGATGTTTTGATGATTGAACATGGAATTCAAGCCAAACAAAATGGGAAATGAAGGCAGGAAGTGGCTGTACCCCTCTGGCTGAAAATAGCCTTTCTCCTTTTACCCAACAAGTATCATTGTGCAGGCCCAACATCAGACTGGGCTTCCTCACCCTCTCACACTACTGGCCCCTCTCATTCCTTACAGCCTGGTGTCTGCCATTTCTGTGTCATGACTCATGATATGTCACAGGGAGGGGTTGCTGTGAATTTCCCTCTTGGAATTAAGCTGGTTTGTCATGCAATGGGTGTGCTCAGGGTATCCCAATAGGTTGATGGTAATTGTGTAACTATGGAGTTTTGAGTGCCCCAAATTCCAATCCAATGACTTAGGCGTAAACTTCGGAGACATACATTGGATGTGGTCTTAACTTCGTTAGCTGAAACTTAATCAACTATACCAAACCCCACCCTCAGGAAGACCATTAGCAGAAGGGGAATAGTAACCTCGTACATAGAAAAGGAGAAAAAGGACTCAGAGGAGTAGAGTTAGGCAGTATTACATCATCATCTAGAGAAAGTGACTTGATCAGAGATTATACAGCAGCCTGAATCTTCCTTTCAAAATACAAATCTGATCTTATCACTCCATACTGAACCTGTTCAATGGCATTTTAATCCTCTAAGATAAAGATGGCAATGTTCAGCCAGGCTTACAAGGCCATGTCTGACCTGGCCAGTGCCCTTTTCCCCAAGCTGCACTTCAGCACCCTAACCTTCCTCTTTGTCCCCCAAACCCACTGTGCTCCTTCCCACCACAGGGCCTTTGCACATGCTGTTCTTGCCCAAGAAGTATCTTTGCTCCCATGCCCCCAGTCCCTAGCCTTGTTAACTCCTACTTATCCCTTAGATCTCAGTCCAAGCCTTTCTTCCTCAGGGAAGCCTTCTGAGCTATCCATAGTAGGTCTGCTTTCTCTGCATACACTTGGCACTGTCTACTAGGTCTTCCTGGTGCTTTATCAGAGCTTTAATGTTATATTTACTAGTGAGATCATTTTGTTGGTATCTTCCTTCCCAAATCTACTCAAGGACTGTAAGTGCAGGAACTATATGATTGTCTTTTTTGCTTGTTCACCATTGTAACCCTTTCTGGCACAAGGCAAGTCCTCAATACATATTATCAAATAAATTAGTCAAATCTAGATCCCACGCAGATTGATTCCTATAAGCTAAATATGTGCCTCAAGACGTCACAGTATAGCATCAGCAGCAATTCACAGCATCCAGCCACCTCCCTTGCTGATTCCATATTCACCAAGCAAACTTCCAATGAGTTATTATAGTTTCATGTTGATTTTTCTGTAAGATGGAAATCTACAGGGTCTGATTCTCTTAGCAATTGTGTGTCTCATTTTAAAATCATCAACTTACATTACCATCTATCCCACATTCTCCTGTAATTTGTAGATCCAAAATTAGGCTTGGGGAACAGACTATCTTTATTAATTTTTTTCATTCAATAAGTATTTATTGAGCACTATATGCCAGGTATATTTCAAGGCATTCAGGGTACAGAAGAGAACCAGACAGACAAAGCTTCGGTACTGACAAAAGCAAGTTTCCACATCTGCAGGACTGGATTGGTCTGGATGTGCTGTCATCCCCATGATGACATCACTGGGTGAGATCCTACCTCTCAGGGACCCTCTGTTTCCTAAGTCCCTCTCCTGTTGTAATCACAGAAATTTTAAGGATATAGGAGTTCCTGGAGAAGCTAAGAAGCTCCTTGAGGGTAAAATTCTTGCCTGACTCTATTTTTTGCATTTCCCAGACTGCTAGCATATATAAGTATATCCTTATATATGCCATATTTAAAAATAAATTGAGAATCTAATTTTAAAAGAAACAAATGAACATTCTACAACTGAAAATTGCAGTAGCAGAAATTAAGAACTCCTTGAACCAGTTTAACAACAGCATGGACATAGCAGAAGACAGGTTGAGCTTAAAGACCAGCCAATAGGAAAACTAAACTGAAGCAGAAGAAGAAGAAGACTATAAAGAACAGAATGGAGAATAAGAGACCTTTGAGACATGGTCAATAGTTGCACTATATGTGTAATTGGAACCCCCACAAAAGAAGGAGAATGGGAAAGAAGCAATATACGAAAAAGTAATGTCCGTGAAGTTTCCCAATCAGATGAAAGACGTAGAAGCCACAAACTCAGGAGCCTTAGTGAGGTCCAAGGATGAACACAAAGAAAACCACATCTCAACACATCATAGTCAAAATAGGTTTGTTTTGTTTTGTTTTGTTTTTAAGACACATTTCCTTCAAGGAAACAAAAATAAGAGTAAGAATTACTGCTGACTTTCTCAACAGAAACTATGAAGCCAGAAGGCAATGAATGGCATCTTTAGAGATTGGAAAGAATTAACTGCCAACCTAGAACTCTGGACCCAGTGAAAATATCCTTCAAAAATGGAATGAAATAGAGATGTTCCCAGACAGACAAAATCTTAGGGAACTTAGCAGCAGCAGATCCACAATATGAAAATACTAAAAAGATATTTTTCAGGCTAAAGGAAATTGATCTCAAATAGAAACAAAGAAGTATAAGAAGGAATGATCAGCTGTTAAAAATATAAAAGACTACTTTTAGAATATCCTATTTTTTAAGGCAAGAATAGTAACAAAGTCTTATGTATTTATAACATGTAGAAATAAAATATATGACAACAGTAACCAATAAGATAGGTAGGGGGAAACGGACTTGTAAGGTTATTGTGTTGTTCAGGACACCATAAAATGCTAGCCTAAGGTAATTTGTAATAAGTTAGTAATTTATTTTGTAATTCTTTAAATGATACTACATATAATAAGTAATAGTGAACAAAAAGTGAGAAAGTAAAAAGTACTTGACTGATTAGAAAGAATACAGAAAAGGAAAAGAAAAAAGAACAGATTGCACAATTAGAAAACAAATGTGAAGATGATAGAATTAAACTTAAATTGGGCGCCTGGGTGGCTCAGTCGTTAAGCGTCTGCCTACGGCTCAGGTCATGATCCCAGGGTCCTGGGATCGAGTCCCGCATCGGGCTCCCTACTCGGCGGGAAGCCTGCTTCTCCCTCTCCCACTACCCCCTGCTTGTGTTCCTGCTCTCACTATCTCTCTCTGTCAAATAAATAAATAAAATCTTAAAAAAAAAAAAAGAATTAAACTTAAATTTTGGTAGAGGGATAGACACATAGATCAAAAGAACAGAACGCACAACCCAGAAGTAGGCCAACACTAATATTCCTGACTGATTTTTGACGAAGGTACAAAATGTAAGGAAGAATAACCTTTACAGTACATGATGCTGGAACAATTAGATATCCACAGACAGAAAAATGAACCTTCACCTACGTCTCATACATTTTACAAAATTTACAAAAATTAACTCAAACTGGATGCACTTAAATGGAAAATGTGCAACTTTAAAACTGTTATTAAAATATAGGAGAACATCTTTGGGATAAGGCTAGGCAGAGTTCTTAGTATAAACACCAAAAGCAGAATTCATAAAAGGAAAATTTGGACTTGATCAAAGTTAGAAACTTCTCCTCCATGAAAGATTCTGTTGAGAGCATGAGAAGACAAACTACAGACTAGCAGAAAATATTTGCAAACCACATATCTGAGGAAGAGCTAGTAACACAGAGCATACAAAGAACTCTCAAAACTCAGCAGTTAAAAAACAACCGATTAGAAAATGGGCAAAAGACACAAGGAGGCATTTCACTGGTGTGGCTATACAGAGGGCAAATGAGCACAGGAAAAGATGCCGCTAGCCATAAATGCACATTAGAATCACAATGAGAAATTACCACACACTCATGAGGGTAGCAACACCAATTGCTGGAGAGAATGGGAAGAAACTAGATCATTCATACGTTACTGGTAGGAATGTGAAATGGTATTGGCGCTCTGAAAAGCAATTAGGCACTTTCTTTGCAAACCAAATATGCAACTACTATACACCCCAACAATTGCACTCATGGGCATTTATCCCAGAGAAACAAAGACTCACGTGCACGTGCGCACACACACACATACCTTAATTCCTAATAACTCAAAACTGAAAACAACAATAAAAAAGAACAACCACTGATACGTAAAATGACCTCTCCCAATTTCCTGAGAATTATAATGAGTGAAAAGCAAAAAAATACATACTCTCTGATTTTGTTGATACAACATTCTCAAAAGGACAAAATTACAGAAATGGAAGAGAGATTCGTGGCTTCTGGGGCTTAAAGATGGGGTGCCTGTGGGAGGGAAGTGAGTGGGTCGGGAAAGGGCCACCTGAGGGATCCTGGTGGAGACAGAAATGTTCTGTATCTTGACTGTTCCAGTGTCAATACCAGTGTCTTGGTTGTGACCTTGTAAGATAGTTCTGCAAGATGTTACCATTGAGAGAAACCTGGTAAAAGTTGCTCAGGATCTCTGCATTATTTCTTACAACTTTATGTGAATCTACCATTTTCTCAAAATAAACATGTTAATGTGTAAAAACCTGAAAATCATGAAGTATCGCTATGTGCAATCACATCAGTGAATCTTGCAATCATAATAACGGCTGAAGGAAGTCAGACACAGGGAGTTTACAGTGTACAACTCCATGTACAACAGCAGGCAGTGTGACTCTACAGTGAGCTCAGAAGAACAGCCACACACAGACTGGAAAGCAGAATGAGAGACAGATCAGGGGTGATGAGGAGATGTTCTAGATGTTGAACCTGGCAGTGTTTAAGGCAATCTGCCTGGACACGGGTATACTCACTCTGCATAAATTATACTGCAATAAAATTCATAGTGAGTGAGGACATAGATGTGGAGGAATGAAAGATGCTGAGACAGTAAAAAAGTGCTTGATAGCCTGTGTGATGGGGAGCATGGGTGGCCCGAGGAGGTCTGAGAAAGAACTTAGCAGCAGGAGCTAGGAGCCAGGAGAGGACGAGCACCAGGCTGGAAGAACTCCATCCACCATGCTGGTGAACTTTAACTTCATCCTGGGTGCAATGGGGAGGTACCAATGGATGCTTTAAACAGAGTAGTGAAGCGGTCAGCAGCACTGTTTTGAAAGATCATTTTCCAAGCACGTCCCTCCAGCTGTCACAGTAATCAGAATGCAGAACCCTCTGGGAACCAGATCTGGGGCCGGATGCTAACAGGGCATGAGATTAGGTGTCAAAGACTGGCACAACTTGATGACCCGAGCATGCAGCACTCTCACCCTTTGTAGATGAGAGCCCACAAGAAGAGAGCCAGAATGCTCGGAGCCTGTTGGCAATCGGGCCCTTTGCAGGCTTCACAGGGTGACCTCACTGTCTACCCACCGAGGGACATGCCCACATAAGCAACCTGCAGTTTCCCAGGCCAAGCCCTCCATCCAGGAAAATGTAGCAACTGCACGTCCGGTGTGCCACAGTGGAACTTCCATCCCATTCCCTGCCACCACGACCAAAAACCACCATGACCCTGCCCTACCTAAGTTCTAGAGCTAATTTGCTCACTTGTGTTTACTAAATTATTGGTTATTTCCATTTTTTCCAGAAAAAGAAAGGGAAGAAAGGCAAAAAAGGGAAAAGAGGGAAGAAGGACAAAGATCTGACAGCAGACAGGTGAGGTGTGCCCTAGCATTGTTCTGCACGTTGAGCGCCAACCATCCCCCCCCCGCCCTGCCCAGAGCAGAGTATAGGTCACAACCAAAATCCGCGGCCCCAGCCTGAGAAAGGCATCCCTCTCTGCCCACCACACCTCCTCCACCCTGGAAATGCTGGGGTTGCTTTTCAGTCCTGCGTGAAGAGTGGTCTCCTAGCCTGCAAGGTGTATGCCAAAGGACGGACACCAGCATCACCTCTGAGATCATGCAACTTTTTTAAGTTTTAAAATTTGTAGGGTTCTTTTTTTTAAGATTTTATTTATTTGTTTGAGAGGAAGAGAGAGAGTGTAAAAGCACAGGGAGGGGCATAGGGAGAAAGAGAGAATCCCAAGCAGACTCCCTGCCAAGTGTGGAGCCTGATGCAGGGCTTGATCCCATGACCCCGAGATCATGACCTGAGCCAAAATCAAGAGTTAGATGTTTAACTGACTGTGCCACCCAGGCACCCCAAAATTTGGGGGGTTCTTAAGAAATTGTTCAAGAAACAGCATCCTGATCCAACTTTTTTTTTTAAGATTTTATTTATTTATTCATGAGAGATAGAGAGAGAGAGGCAGAGGCAGAGGAAGAAGCAGGCCCCCCGCGGAGCAGGGAGCCCGATGCGGGACTCGATCCCAGGACCCTGGGATCATGACCTGAGCTGAAGGCAGACGCTTAACCGACTGAGCCACCCAGGCGTCCTCTGATCCAACTTTTGAGGGAGTACTGACACTCTTGGAGGGCAGAGACTGTTCCCATTTTCTGCCCCATCCTGGGTCCAGCCCAGTGAGGCACTTCACAAGTGGTCATTGAAGAGAAGGATGGGGTTTCACCTCATTGAGGAGTATTTCCATTGCCTTGATCTCCACTGGCCAAACTTTGATACTCATGAATCATTTTAAATACTCATTTTTTAAACTGAAACGTCCCTTCAGTTCTTTAACGCTGGAAATAAATAGGTCTTAGGTTTTCAGGTATTTTCAAGAAATGTAGTGGAATCTAAAAAACAAAATGAACAAAATAAAACAGGTGCAGGAAACAAGCTAGTGGTCACCAGCTGGGGGAGGCCTGTGGGACAGGTGACATAGGGGAAGGGGATCAAGAGGTATAAACTTCTTATAAAATAAATAAGTCATGGGGATGTAATAGACAGCATAGGGAATATAGTCACTAATATTGTAATAACTGTATTGTGACAGACGGGGACTAGACTTACCATGGGGATCAGTTTGTAATGTATAAAAATATTGAATCGCTATGATACACATCTGAAACTAATAGGACATTGTATGTCAATTATACTTCAATTAAATAAGCAAATAAAAATAAAATAAAATACAATCCCTAATAAGTGAATGTCAGAAATCATTCTGAAGGTATATCTTTCTTCCCATGGGTTTTGTTAATGGATACCACGTATTGCTCCCCTGTTTGGGAGTATTTCCTAGTCATCCCCTGGCTACCAGGGATACATTCCAAACTCTGCTTGAGAGCAGATCCATGAGAAAGGAAGCCAGCTTAGAACCATCCAGAAGGAAATAGGAGACAAGAGTGCTCCAGGGCTAGTGCACATGCCTGGAGCCCTGACAGGAAGCCTCTGGAAAGACAGCCAGAGGGCATGTGGGCTTTGGCTCGTGGAGAAAAGGCTCCTACAGTGTTCCTGTAAAGGCAGGTTTCTTCACTTGATTCTCCATCGTTTGGGGACAGGTTCAGGGTCAAGATGCTGTGGCTGACTGCTGCCTAAGAGGGGCTTGGTCAGCATCCTGAGAGTCAGTTGCCCAGTTCCTGGGTCACCAATCCCTCCGAGCACCAACACTGATGCCTCCTGGGGACCCAAGGGGCAGCACAGTCCCTTCCCTAGATGGGGGTCCAGCCCATGCATGCACACAGTGCCACAAGCCACAGGTGTCTTTTAGTAGCTTGTAAAACCCACTTTTCTCCTTTGCTCTCACATTAGTCCCCAAACCAAGAACAGTCTTGCAGGTGAAGAAGATTATGCGAAGTGCCTTATCCAGACACAAACCAGAGCTAAAATCAAATCTACCAATATGACCCGATCACTAAATTAAAATTATTCATTCACATTCTCATGCATGTAAAGATGGGATTACCAAATAAAAACGCAGCTTTAACAATACAGATCACACACACACGTGGCTGGTGAACAATACCCATTAGACTTTGAATATGTTCTTGCATATGCCTCTGTACAGATGAACTGTTGTAAATGAGCCGCAAGCCCTTCTCTAGCAAAAGGAAGAGAGACCAGGATTATTTTATTCACTTCTATGCCCAAATGTACAGAAACAGCTGGTTATCTCATTCCTGGAAGACTTTTCATTTCAATTTCAATTTTGGAGACCCTAGGTCTCTAGACTAGGGCTAATTCCACCAAGTCGCTGTAAGACAACTTCCTTTTCTCTCATCGAGTTATTATCAACCTGAAACCATACTTTTATCATCTGAAGGTAGTTTTAAAGTTGAAATGTTTTATTCCTTAACAGAAGCTCGTTTCACTGGAGAGACCCAAGTATAGGTTTGTGTTCCAGGCTTCTTAATGTATTTTGTTTTGATTGTTTTAGAGAATCTTCTTCAATTTTACGTTAATATTTTATGCATATATTCTATGTTCATATTAAATCGGTATTCTAACTAAAAACCTACAGTTGGTACTTCCTTGCAGGTCAGATGCTGTTATCCCAAATCCCATTACAATTGAAACCTTCTTATTTCGCAGCAGAATTTTAAACATTATTTTAATTTAAACCCTATCTTAAATATGTATGAAAGGATAAAATTCCAGTCAATCAAGGACTGGGGTCATTGAATTAACATTTATCCCAATGGTATTTGGCTTAAATATAACTGATATCCTTGCTCATACTAACCTGGATCATAGAACAAAGAACTGGTTAAATATAGTTATATTTACAATCCTTCATTCTAAAGAAAGACTAGGGTAGAACTAAAACATATGGCCCCTAGAAATAGATAAAACATCTCAAAGGATTAAACTCAATACTTGAGCTTGACCTATCTAAATTCCTACAAGCCAAGCCCCAGTTAATTTCACTGGGAGTTTCATTCATTAAGTGGGATACTGTCTTGATTTTTTCCTCAATTAGTATAAATTACCAGTGTGCTGGCTGTATGCCCAAGGCCCCCTTAGGGAAGTGGTTTTGACATCTGTAAACACTATGGAAAAGTATAACATTCTCCTAAAAAAATCATCACACTCACCGCGTTAGACATTTTGTCTTTCGTAGTAGAATTAGTTCCCCTATAAGCCTTTGTTCTTTATAGATATTTCTTCTAAACTATTATGCTGTTGGGTTAAAAGGAAACATCAATTTCACAAAGGATTAATGATCTACTACGGGTTGCAGATGCTAACTGAATATATAATTTTGGGCCCATTGCGCTACTATTATTGGGCAATTTCTAATTCCTATCTGTGCCATCACAAGGACTAATGAAAGGGCAGACCGCAGGAGGTATAGCTGGTCTCAGATGCCCAGGGATATGATTCTTATTAATGGGAAATGTCAGACGTACACGTGGATGAGCAAAAGTATTGTTTTTTAAAGCCTCATATGTCCCCAAATTGTAGAAACGCTTCCAAAAGTCAACTTATTTGCATAGATACAAATGTGCTTAGAAATAGATCTGGTGAAAGTTCTCTGCATATATGGTGATTAACAGAAATGCTGGTTTTATGTGTCTGCTCATGGAATAGCTGGTCTGCTTTATCACCAGGACCATTGAGTCTCTGTATAAGGAACTGGTGGAAGAAGGGTTGCTGATCCAGGCTCTGAAAGTTAACCTCTCTGATTACATCGGTAAGGTACACCAAAATCAACACATATATGTGCCGCATATGTTGCCCCTTGGGTTCTTAGGTCCCAACAGCTGGAAATACGTTTCATTTGCATTTTTGTCCAAACCAAAACCTGGCCTATAGTGGCTCATAGATTTTTTTGGACTGAATTGATTTGAATTCATTCTGCACTGTGAACTCACAGGTCCTGCTCTCTCCCCGGATGTGGTAGAGGCAGGTTTTTGAGCCTACCAGCAAGATTCCTTGGGGCATTCTGTCTGGCATAAGCTAAACTGAGGAAATGAAAACTTGTTCATACTTTCGGGTTTAAACAAAATGCCCCAGGGGAGCAGCACCTGGAACTTGAACAACACACAGTTCTTACGGAAGGAATTCCTTCCAGAAGGGGCCACCCCAGAAGTAGCTGGAAGGAAGGAGGAGAGATATTTGCTATCACCATCTCTAACAAATGTTTTCTCTTAATTTTTAAAAAACAACATGATGACCTCAAAGCACACGTAAAGCTTAACATTCTTCATAATCCCAGCACCCTAGTGCAGGTATAATGTTCACTTTCTCGCATCTGCCCTGAACCAGGGCATTCTCCCAAATAGCCACAAAAGGATAATCACACTGGAACATCTTGCAATGCCATTACTTAATACCTAGTAGGCAATCAACTCCCCCAATTGTCCTAATAATGTCCTTTATACATTTTTGTCTTTCTGAATCCAAAATCCAATCAAGGCCCATGGCTGTGGGGTTCATATCTCTTTAGTCGCCTTTCATGCCTTTAATCTAGAACAACTTCCAACCTGATGTCTTTCACACCATTGACATTGTCAGAGTCTGAGCTGTTGCACAAACTGTCCTTCAACAGAAGTAGTTTGATGCTTTCCTCATGACTTGATTCAGGTTAAACGTTTCGGGGGGGGTGGGGGAGGCAGGCAGACTACATAGCTGATATTATGTCCTTCTCAGTGTTTCACGTTGGGGACACGTGTGTCCCATCACTGGGGATGTTAAGTATCATCGCTGGCCAAAGTGCTGTTCCCCAGATTTCTCCACTGTCAAGCTTCACTTTCCCCTTCCTAATTAATGAATAACCTGGGGTGGGGGCCTGGGGGTGGGATTCTTTGAGGCTCTGGAGATTCTGTTCCCAGCTGGCTTAAAGGTTTTATCCTCCACTGATGATTTTTGCCTGCTTCGATTACTGCTAGGGTAATTGTAAAATGGGGGTGTTCTATTTCTATCATCCCTTCTATATTTAGTAGGTGCCATTTTTCTAGAAAGAAATGTCCTCCCCACCCTCTTTTTAAATTGTTGTGATATCAGTGTAGAAACATGAAATCTCTCTTTTTTCATTGTATTATATTACACATTGACCTAATTTGGGCCTGTAGGAACAAGAAGGTTAACATTTCCCTCTGAACAAAAAATGATTACTTCAATGCCTTTGAAATAAAGCCACAGTTCTTCTTGAGGGCCTGGGGGGGAGCGTTCATATTTCCTAACAGTATAAGAATTTTATGAGGACATATACTGGAATATATATTGGGTTTCTATTTATTTTATGTGTTTCTTGTTCAACTACCAAAGGGTTTTCTCCTGAATTCCCTTGATTTTGCTCTGTTAATTCTGTTCATATGAAAACATGACATTGTTAACAGAACACTGTCCCTTTTCTTGCGGTTGGGATCTCTGACTTCTTGTCTGTCTTTCCTTTGACATTGTGTATTTTTGTTCATCACTGAATTTCTAGTGTTTGGGCAGTGCCTGGCACAACGTGGAGTCTCCAAAAGCAAATTATGCACATATTTCTCATCTTCTGTTTGATTTCTTACCCATCGTGGACTTTGCAATGATCTCTCGGTCTCCGGGCAGCATCTTTATGACACATAAGGCCAAAGTGAATGCATTCAGACCTCAAATGAAAATGACCCAGTCTAATGAATAGACATTTCTCCGAAGAAGACATCTAGATGGCCAACAGACACGTGAAAAGATGTTCAACATCACTCATCATTGGGGAAATGCAAATCACAACCATGATGAGATACCACCACACACCTGTCAGAATGGTTAAAATTAACAACACAAGAAACAACAGATGTTGATGAGGATGTGGAGAAAAGGAAACCCTTTTGTACTATCGGTGGGAATGCAGCCACTCTGGAAAACAGTGTGGAGTTTCCTCTAAAAGTTAAAAAAAGAACTACCCTACAACCCAGCAATTGCACTACCAGGCATTTACACAAAGGCTACAGAAATACAGATTCAAGGGGTACATGCACCCTGATGTTTATAGCAGCATTATCAACATTAGCCAAATTATGGAAAGAGCCCAAGTTCCATTGACTGATGAATGGACAAAGATGTGGTATATATATATATAGTGGAATATTATTCAGCCATCAAAAAGAATGAAATCTTGCCATTTGCAACGAGGTGGATGAAGCTAGAGAGTATTATGCTAATCAAAATAAGTCAATCAGAGAAAGACAAATACTGTATGATTTCACTCATATGTGGAATTTAAGAAACAGAACAGATGAACATATGGAAGCGGGGGGAGAAAAAAGAGAGAAGCAAACCATAGAGACTCTTAAAGATATAGAACAAACTGAGGGTTGCTGGAGGGGAGGTGGGTGGGGGAAGGGCTAGATGGGTGATGGGGATTAAGGAGGGCATTTGATGTAATGAGCACTAGGTGTTGTATGTAAGTGAGGAATCACTGTATTCTACTCCAGAAACCAATATTGCACTGCATGTTAACTAACTGGAATTTTAATTTAAAAATTGAAAGAAAAAGAAAATGACCCAGTCTAAAACAAAATCAGTCAAACTGCCATGGGGGCTTTTCCATGCTTTCCTTATTTTTTCCTAGTTAAGATCCTTAGCTTGAAAGATGGCAGTAGATCATCCCAAACCCCCATGTAAAAATAGGCAGAGCAACCAGATAGCAAAAGCAGAAACCTGAGGACAACATTTACACCAAAACTGAATGACAAGGTGTCCCCTCCAACCCCAAGTACAAGGAGCTGGGGACACAGAGCAGAAGAACACCAAAATAACCAGCAGGCATTCGCAGGGAGGTCCAGCAGACCAAGGCAGCAACTACAGCCGGAACTGGGAGGGGCTTGGCCACCTCAAAAAAGCACACCACCGTGCTTTTAATTTTTCTGGAAACAACAGAAGCGGGGGCTCTATGACATTTAAAAAGCTATCCCACACCAAACTTTCTTCTAAAAGTAGAAAAAATACTATCTCACATAAAATTAAGCAATGGAAACCTCCAAGATCAAAGCCCATGCAACGTTTCTATCAAAAAGAAGAATGAGGAGTAAATTAACATCACAAAAAGCCACCTAAATGGAGCCCACTCTCTCAAGCAAGCTAACATACAATACAAAAATTACAGAAGAACTGTAAGAATACATAGAATGGAATTAGAAAACCTCAGAAACGAGCTAACAAAACCCAAGGGATATTAGAAATAAAGAGAAAAATCATTTTAGAAAATAAATTATAATGAATCCAAGAATGAACAAATAATGCTTTAAGAGAAATAAAACGTGAAAGACAGAATATCCCCTCCCTCACCCCTCGCCTTCTGAAGGATGCTTGCCCTTTGTATGATCCTTCTGTACCTCAGTTTCCACAATTAGGGGAACAATCACAGCTCCTGCCTTGTCAAATCACTGTGAATAGTGAGTTAAGAGATGGGGCGTTCAGGGGGCATGCTTGGCTTGGTGCCGAGCTAGTTATTGTCCTGCTATTGCTGGTGGTGACATTCTTGCCCAGTCCTTGGCAGGCTCGGGGGGCTGCCAGTCGGAGGGCTTGTGACTTCATGGTGTCTCTATGGGTGTCCCCCCACCAGGCCACATCACAGAAGCAGTGAGTGCAAGCAGTGCGTGTATTTTGCCTGAGGCCAAAATACAAGGAGAGCAAACACGAATTAATATTCCCCTAAATTATCCGGCCCCACCCATGGTTCAGTCCCTGTGCCTTTGGGGGAACATTGACCCGAGGCCAGAGTTAGTATTTCTCGTACTCTCCTCGGTGTTCAGGGCCTGCCCTACAGAGGAGAAAACTCAGCATCTTCGATGGTATGACTTACATATTCACACACATGAAACCCCCGCAGAGCTTCGGAGTTGGCGGCACCCCAGCAGGTCCTGCACAGTCTCAGCAAAGCTGTCACAACCCCGAGTCCACCTGCAGCCGTCTCTCTGCTGATCTCGTCCCGGAAGCTGGGCCGCCTGGGTCCAGCACACACAGCTTATGAGCAAGCCCATACTCCTGACCCATGACCGTGTAACACGCGTGCCCGTCCTCGTCGCTGGGAGACGGTTCGTGTGCAGCCCTGGTGGAGTGGGGGGGGGGCGGGGGGGGCGGCAAACACCGACCAGCAGCATCTGCTCTTGGGCCTCTGCCCCTGGTCCCCGAGGAGCGTATTTGGGAAGCTAGGACTTGTTATAAATTGCTCTCTTCTTCATACTCTTTGTGATGCTGTGTGGGGTAGAATGGAAGGCTGATCCCACCCTTATTTCTCAAATATTTTTTCTTATTTCTCATTATTTTTTTCCTGCTTTGATGTCTCCATTCTCTTCCATTACTTGATTCCTTCTGTACCAGTTTGCTAGGGCTGCTGTAACAGGGGTCACACGCGTTCCCTCACAGGCTGGAGGCCAGAAGTCCAAGATCAGGGTGTCGGCAAGGCTGGTTCCTTCTGAGGGCTGAGGGAGAAGCTGTTGCTTTGCTGTAGCTTAGAAGCTACATGCACCCACCAGCCCCACGTCTCTCTTGCCCCGACTGCCAGCCCTCCTGCCTGGCTGCCCCGATGTCCCTGCGCTCCTATGACCTCATCATTTCATCCCTCGCCTTGTCCCCTGGAGGTTTGCTATAGCCTCTGGGGTTCTGCTGCATCTCCCCATCCCTGCGTCCAGCTTCGCACCTGTGTGCTCATGGCCCCTTTTTATAAAGGACACCGGTCATATTGCACTGGGACCCACCCTAATCACCTCACCTTCACTAGTTGTATCTGCAACGGTCCTATTTCCAAATGAGGTCACATTCTGCGATATCGGGGATCTGGATTTCAACATAGGAATTGTAAGGAAACACAGTCAGACCCACCCGTAACACGTTCCTTGTTTCTTTTCCGTCCACTGTTGTAGGCTTTCTTGCCCTTGTTCATGCCTTGTACTTAAAATGCCTTTTCAGCCACCATTTCCTTCTTCCCTCTCTGGCAGAAGACCTGGGATCTGTGCAGGGGATCCTGAAGTTTCTAACTTCTGCCTGAGTGGAAGGGAAGGGTTTATGGCGAAACACAGCCACACACTTTCAGGATGAGTCTCAACGCTTGGCAAGCAGTGGGGGCTGGTGGTGTCCTTCACTCCATCAGAACCACCACCCACTAATTCAACTTAATATGATGTGTCTAAACGAAATCTGTTAGGTCCTAGAAAATATGGTGCATCTGGGTATTAATATGGATTTATTTAAGCAGGAAAATTGGGGTCACTTTCAGATCATCTCTAATGTCATGTTTACAGCAATAAGCACTGGATTGAATGGAGGCTACAGGATCTCTTCCTGCTTTAGTGAAGGCGAAATTAACCACTCTCCTATTTATTACCTGCTCATTAAAAAGCTCGGGCATCAGAAGCTGCAATGGAAGTTTTCACTATCACTCATTCTCCCCACCAATACCCATTGTCCTTGCCAAGGACTTTTTTTTTTTCATGTGGGAGCTTTGAAAGCCTGCCCTCCACAACAAAACACCCAGCATTATCTAGTTTAATTCTAATTTTCTTAGCATTCGAAAATGCTTTAAAGCTTTTCTTAATTCACATACATGTAAGCGCATTCTATTGGACATACATATAGAACATCAAAAGCTCTGCAAGATCCATACTTCTTATAGAAAGAAAAAGCCAGAAAAAAAAAATGATCAAGACACTGTGACTCATGCATTGAATATTTTGCCTTCAGATTCAGGTACAAATCAAGAGAGAACTGTATGAGCATATAAAGGTCCCTCCTCATGACAAATGGAGACAGGCAAACTAATTTTCTTGGTGACCTTATCTAAATTAGTTAGAAAATAACACTTCAGATTTATGACTAGTTACAATTAAGACCTTTGATGCCTTCTAATTAAACCTGTAAAGATTTATTTCTGTATTATTCCTTTGGTAATCCTTTGAAAATGATAAAAATGTAAATGAATATTACCCGCAAAAGGAGATGTTTCTATTTATCCTAAATTAGACTCATATCCTTCCTTTCAAATGACTGCATTTTAGGTTCAGATTTACACTGCTCCAATACAAATTCCACATTGATCTTAAATAATTTATTTTTAAAGTTTATGCCAATGTTAGGCATAATTGCTTGGAATATAAGTATAAATTAAATAAAGCCTACCATGTTTTAGTCTACTTTGTACGTCCTTCATTTTAGAACTTAGTTCCACTTCAGTCATTCGATAGTCAAAGGTTATTTTTAGAAATCCTAGGAGGTTAGCGTCCTACTCAACAGAATGCCCCGTTACTACAGGGAGATAGCGGCGCTCTCATGACTGGACGGGTTTTCTCAAGTCTTTACTGAGAGAAGATGTGTTCTCCATGACTCCCTGCAACACCATTCTATTTGCTCAGAAATGTTGACTATGTATTCTGTGTTAGTTTTGCAGGTGCCAAGATCATGCAGCTCAGACCAACACAGTCTCCCATTTACTTATCCTCTGTTTCTGTTCCTCCAGGAGAGTACAGTTACCTGGGGACCACGCTTCGCCAGGTATCCATAGAACCCATGCCTTCCCTCCTGGATGTGAGACAGCTCATCGCCCTGTATGGGATCTTGCCACTAGGTAAAGTCTCCACACCCTGTTGAACGTTTCCTAGAAGCAGGAGTGCACTGCTTGGTGCCTTTGGCAGCATCTTCCTGGTTGAATTCTTTGTGCTGATCATTTTGAGTGAGGGTAGTTCTATTGCAACCGTGCATCCCGGAGAGCACAGGAAGGTGCTACCCGGGGAGCACGTCTGCACCGCTTCTGAGTGCCTGCTTAACATTCTGGGCTGAAAGTCCTGTCGGCAATCATCTGGAGAGATAATAACCAAAGCAAGCACCTGCAATTAAAATTAATCAAATTAGACAAAGGGCTAATGTTAGGCTTGCCTTTTATACACAGGCTTCTGTTACTGGGTCCTTAACAAAGCCGGCCTTTCATGAATCAGTGAAAGTGTATTTCATGAATCTAAAGGATCAAGGCTCTACTGGTTTTCACTGACGTCCACTCTAACTGCTAAATAAGATTCCATCATGATTGTTCAGACCAGTGGACCAGACTTCTGAGGTGCAGGTGCAGGAAGGGCGGCTCTCTGATGCTCTCCTTCACGCTTATCATTTTAATAACCTTTTTATGTGTATGACCTGAGTCATCTGGGGCAGCCAGGCTTGGCTCTGATGACAACTCCGGAATAGAAATCATGTTTTATTTGTTTAACTGGCTTTAAAATAATACGGGAATAGTTTGGGCACTTATAATATTGTTCCCCTTTGACTTAGACCTATTGGCAAGAAATGGTTCATTCCCTCTTTTAATGTCAGAAGTAGTAAGTGGAATTGGGGCTCAACATAAATTTTATATATACAAAGTATATATCATAAATAACTATATGATACTTCTGGGGTCAACCAAATAGATATGCAATATTTATGATGTCCATGCAAATAAAATAATTAGCCCTCAACCCTCATCACAGTGAGATGGAAAACAGTAGAGCAGAGAGCACCAAGACCCAGCATGTTGTTCACGGAACTCCTAAGACATCATTAAAGGGGGCAGTATGTTTGATCCTTGGCTCGAGGATACAAAACGATGGATATTGTTTCCAAGTGGCCTTAAAAGCATCAGAAGAAGGATGCTCAGGAAGCATCCCACCTGAATCCTCCTCGTGTCAATGAGGAACCCGAAGTCCCTATGGGCTGCTGACCTCCCCAGGTCCCAGAGCCAGCAGGGATTTCTTCTGGGGACTGGTGTGTGTGTTTGCAAGGCACAAACCGGCCAGACAGACGAGAACATTCACAGATCTGCCTTCGGGTGCTTCCTTTAAATTTCATAGATCTAAAATCGTATCCAGTGGCAACACGGAATGTGTTTGCTGGCCCTGTGTTCAAGTCACCACTGCCAGGACTAGCCAACCCGGCCACTCTGCAGAGGGCCCTGAGGACACGCCGTGAGGCCACTCTGCACCATGGCCAGGCAAAACAAGCACCCACTGGCCTCTAGAGCCCTAAGAGCCTCAGCCAGGGCTCCCAGGACGAGGTGTGAGCTTTCCAAGCCCCCTGGGCAGATATGAGAGCACCCAGGACATATCTGGTCAGCGCTCACCCATTCGCCCTCCCAGAAATATGACTGCCCCCCAGAATATGGAAGGAGAAAAGGAAGGGAGGAGGGCGCTCGGCCAGCACCTTTGGCACATCTGCAACCCTCCCCACCTCCCAGGGACCCCTATGGCTGGCATCAGTCTCCCTCCCCAGCCCCTTGCTGTCCCTTGTTACATGGCTAGCGAGAATTATCTGCCACTCCCCGGCACCTGCCTGACTTCCCACTGCAGGCCCGCAGTCACTGTGCCACCCTCAAGGGTCCTGTCTACACGTCCCAGTTCTGCTCCTTCAGGGGTAGCTCAGGTTCCACCCTCTCCCGGAAGTCGGACCTGAGCTCCCCCACTAACCCCCGCCCTTTTCTGAACCCTCTGTGGCTCACACGGAGCTCAGCACTATTTGCCTCCCGTTCTGGTCACGTCCACTCAGGTTCAGCTCCCGTCCTGGCCATAAACTCTGTACAGCAAGTCCTGACTCTTCCCCACCAGCCCCCAGCCAGGGCCATGAACTGAGCAGCCCCCAATACCAGGGGCTGAACGGACCACCCGGTGAATGGCGTCTGTCTCCGATCGTGAGCGACAGAATCTCCTTTATCATATTACGTTACCGTACCCCTCGCTGACCACAAATAAAGCACACCTACGTCACTGCATTTTAAACAGAACTCACGCAAAACTGGCTTCCAAGTTTATGTTGGGTAACCATAAAAATTGTTCCTGATTATTTGGTAAATTCCCTATATCTTTTCAGTTACACAAGAAAAAAAAGAGAGAAAGGCACAATAATAATTGTATTATGGATGTAGTCACAGCTGATCAAAAAGTGCCCAGCCGCTGCCCCAAGCAAAGTCACGATAGTAGATGCTTTGATCACAGCACTCTCCAGGATTTCATTTCATAGTTACTTCGTGCCAATGTGCACTCCGCGTGTGTTCAGGACAACAGAAGATGCTCGAGCCCGAATCCCGCTCTGGCCCGGAGGAGATGGGCAGTGTGGCCGGCCTCCGAGGGCCTGCGTAGTAACTCAAGGCACTTCACCAACGGGTTGGAACCCAGGGCACACCGAGGAAGTCCGGCTACTTACACCTGGCTCTTACTTCTCCCCTTTCCCTCCTGAGAACCACTAACGAACATTCCCAGCCCCCTTACGGGCTGCGGCTGCATGTCCACATTCCTTTTCCTAAGCTTTCAAAGAATATAAGGCCACTGCCAACAAGCAGAGAAACCCACCCCCCACCCTAGAAAAAATGCCAGAGGTAAGTTATTGCAGGAATGTTCTTTAGAATTATGAGTGTGGGGGAAATTCTAGGGTGAGGGGTAGCAGGGAAAGCCACGTACAGAATAAGCAAGGAGATCCTGGTGGCCCCCACCTTGAGCCCTGACATACAAATCAAAGGTGTCACAGGCTAACTCAGATGGGGGATGTGCCTCCGGTTAGAAATGCTTTGGACGCATTTATCACTGTTGCAGAAAACTGGGGCCAGACACTGGAGGAACAGCCTTGAGGGATCCTCGTCTCAGAGTCGCTGCGCTTCTCTGCAGGATTTTGGAGCCTTTGTCTCTGCCTTTTGTAGGTTCTGCAACGGTGCATGAGAAGGCTCCTTTGGTGAAATCCCTGCTGCTGGCAGGGCCATCGGGGGTAGGGAAGAAAATGCTGGTCCACGCCATCTGCACCGAAACGGGAGCCAACCTCTTCAACTTGTCGGCAGCTAACATTGCGGGGAAGTACCCTGGCAAAAATGGCTTGCAAATGATGCTGCATGTGGTCGTCAAGGTACTTGTTGCCTTTCTTGGTTCCCGGTATCCCTCCCTTGTTCAAATTACATGTTCAAATCTTGCCGTTAGTTTCCCACGAACACGGACCCTAGCAGATGATTTCCTTAGGCTGATGCACCCATCGCATCCTGCTATAAATCACTTCATCCTTGCATCTAGCCGAGCATCCAACAGATAGAAACAGCTCTTTCCTTTGCATAAACAACCCTTACTGTCCCATCCAAATCAACCTCCTCCCACCGCAGGAATCCTTCCTGAAATGTCCCCACGTGTCACTGAAATCGAAAACCACAATTTCTATCTCCAGCCCACCTTCCTTCAATAAGGCATCAGCCTCTTGCATTTTGGGTACTCTTTCACACATGGCGTGAGTTACCAAGGTATGGTTCCTTGGGCACATTTGCGCCTCACACACGTGATACCAAAAGCCTGCGGGAAGCTAAACTGACCACAGGGGAGTAAATGCTCCATGATATCTGGGCTGGAGGATAGGAAATCCTAAAAGATCCATACACTACCGAGCCCCGGGATCTTAGACAAGTTCTTCACCTCCCTGCATCTCCGTCTTATGCCACCAAAATGAAACGGTCAGACCAAATGATACTGTCAGCCCTAAAAGCAATGATTCTCTGATATCATTTAGATATGGGTGATGATGGTAATAGACAGGTGTTGAAAGTAGATAGGTAGTTGATAGATAGGGACATAATATGCATATATACACAAATGGATTAGCAAGTTTTCAAGCATTTTATTACAGAATATTCATATTTAATATTAAAACTTGACAGGATTTAATTTTTATTTCTTTGAGTACCTCAAGGTTGTCTTTATGCTGTTCAATTCACTTTTAGTTACTAGAATGCCAGATAAGCCAGCTTTCACTGCATGAAGATGCCCACCTAGCAAGGAGTCCCCCACACCTGGGGCAAGATGTCAGTTCTCAGGGGCTCTGAGTCATGGTTATATGTGAGCAGTTGCCCGTAGGAATGGTTCCTTTTCCACATCATGTTGACAGCCAGAGTGAGGACATGATGGCAATGGGATTTTGTTCTCTTGGCCACATGGTCTCCACCACTGTGGTGGGTTGGGACATTTCCCACTCTCCTTTCCTCCGCTGCTTGTCCTGCGGGAATCTGTGGAAATAGAATTTTGAAGAGCTGGGAGGTGGGAGGGGAGGAAGGTGAGTGGGGAGTAAAGACCACTAAGCTGTTTAATAGGGCGCCTCTCCTCCTATGGACCAGCCGTGTCACCTCTTTGTGGTGTTCTGTTGAATCTTCTCAGTGGCCCCGTGAAGAGTCCATCCTCATCCCATTTACAGATAAAGACACTGGGGCTCTGAAAGGTTCAGTAACTTGTCCAAGGCCACCGAGATCACATGGCTGAGCTGGGGTTCAAACCTAGGTCCTTCTCTTCTTTGCCCTCCTGCACTATTTTTATTAAGGTAAAAATTATATACGGTGAAATGCACAGATTTTAAGGATACATTTTAAGTGCAAGCTTGGAAAATGTCCGCAATTGTGTTGTCACCATTTTCACGGGTCTTTTGGTCCTCGTATAATTTCTTCTTTGAAATATCTGTTCAAGTCATTTGCCTACTTTTCACTGCATGGTTGGCCTTGTGATTTGCAAGAGTTCTTCGTATGTTCTGGACGCAAGTTCTTTGCCAGACATACATATTGCAAATATTGTCTCTCGTTCTGTGACTTACTTGTTCATTTTCTAATTTTTCAGTCATTTACTTGTCCTATCACTGCCATAGGGTGTTGAAACCTCCCACCATGATCGTGGAATTCTGTATTTCTCCCTTTCGTTCTGTCAGCTTGTGCTTCACAGATGTTGAAGCGCTGTTAGGAGATGTGTCCACGTTTTGGATTGGTGCGACCTCCTGTTTGGTTATTTTATCATTATGATAGGTCCCTTTTTGTCTCTGGCAATACTCCTTGTCCTGAGGTCTACCTAACCTGATACTAACAGAGCCACATCAGCTTTCTCGATAACTCTTTTATTTTCAGTGTCTTTAGAGTTAAAGTGCATTTCTTGTGGACAGCACGTAATTGAGTCTTGCTTTCTTATTCACCCTGAAAACATATGTGGAGCCTTTAGTTTACACTAAATGTGGTTATTCATCTGGCTGTGTTAGGTCCACCATTTTGCTGTTGGTTCTCCATTGTCCCATCTCTTCTTTTATTCTTGTTTATCCTTTCCTATCTTCTTTTGGGTTAACTCAGTACTTTTTATTACTTTATTTGGATTCTTTATTGTCTTTTTAGCAGTGCCTCTTTCTTATTTTGCAGTGATTGCTCTATGGATTACAACAGTCATTTTTGACTTAGCACAGTGTATGCAGAGTTCATATTGTAGGATTTTACATAAAATGTGGGAACAATATAATCCATTTGTTATCCTGTGTCCTTAATGTTTTTATCATACATTTTACATCTAGAAATGTTATAAACACCACAACTGAGTGGTATTATTTTTACATTATTTATATTAAATAGTCATGTGTCTTTTAAAGAAATTACGTCAGGGGGGATTTAGCATTTTGCACTCATTCACATATTTATTCTTTTCAGTGATCTCCATTCCCTTCCACCAATCCAAGTTCCCACCTGGTGTCATTTCCCTTTTAGCTGATGGACTTCTTCAGCATTTTTTTCAGTGCAGGTCTGGTGGCAACAAATTTTTTTTAGCTTTCATCTGATTTATTTTTAAATGCCTTTATAGCATCTCCATTTTTGAAGGCATATTTCGCTGGATATAGAATTCTGGGTTACATTTTCCTTTCAGCGCTTTAAAGATGTACTTCCATCATCCTCTTACCTCCAAATTTCTGATAAAAAGTTATCAGAAATTCGAACTGTTGATCTTGTATATTGTGTGTTATTATTCTCTGAATGCTTGTAAGTATTTTTCTTTATTTTGGTTGACTATAGCTTGACTATGATGTGCTGGCTGTTTCTGTTTTTTCTTTGGACTTAACCTACTTGTGGCTCACTGTGATCATTGAATCCATAAATACATGTTTCATACCAAATTTTGGAAATTTTGGCCGCTGTTTACTTAAATATTATTTCTGCCCCATGCTCTCTCCTCTCCTTCGGATGCTCTAATCACATGTATATTTGACTGATTGTTCCATGAGTCACTCAGGTCTTGTTCTCTCTAGTTTCCACATTGGATAGTTACTATTAGTCTGTACTCAAGTTTACCTACCTTTTCTTCTACCATTGCCACTCTGCTATTAAGCTTATCTTGTGGATTTTTTTTTTTTTTTTTTGGTATTTCTGACATTTTGTTTTTCAGTTATAGAATTTAACTTTGCTTATTTTTATAGATTTTTATTTCTGTCTTGCAATTCTCCATCTGTCCATTCAATATGACTATCTTTTCCTTTAAGTCAACTTAAGAGGCTTTACCATTCTTGTCTGCAATTCCAACATTGGGTCATCTTGGAGTTGGTTTCTATTTGAATTCCGTCCTTGACCGTGTGTCAATTTTCCTGTTTCTTCATATCATTAATAATTGCTATTTGCATATTAGACATTGTGGATGATATGTTGTTGATACTCTGGGCATGCTGGGCTTTGTTCTGACACGCAGTTAAATTACTGGCTGATCAGCTTGAGCTTGCAAAGGTTTTGCTTTCCATTTTGTTATTGTGGGTCTATTTTGATTTTGCCCTTAGTCTAAGGTGCCCTTAGTCTAAGTCTCTTAGGCCTAGAACATCATCTTCACTTTAATGAACCTTAAATGGAAAGCCTGAGGTATTTAACAAGCACCTTTAACTTGGCGAAGACTAAGGTGTGTGCTTAGTTCTTCTGATTTTCCAACTGTTGCTCTCCACTGAGCTTCTCAGAATCTTCCAGCATGCAAGCACATTTCTGAGGCCAGCCAAGGATTTGAACCCGAGTTGGAATTTAAAGCCCAGCAGCCTGGCTTGTGGCCTCATGTGCTTACCCATCAGGCTCTAAGGACTAAGTGCTTCAGAGGAAAAGTAAAAGAAACCTATCCTCTTGCCTCCTCCCCCCACCCTGAAATAAAACCCTAAATGCATTCATTCTAAATACCGAATTTTGTTGACATTGTCAAGTAACAGACAGGAGCACATAAATATTAAACTACTGGCATTTCATAAGCATCCATATATACCAGATCCTGTTCTAGCACTTCTCTATGTATTAACTCATTCAACAACAACCGTATGAGGGAAGCACTGTCATTATCCCCGCTGTACTGATGAGAAAACTGAGGCACAAAGCATTTAAAGTAATTTCCCTGGCCAGCAATGCTGCAACGTGAGCCCACACAGTCTGAATCCTGAGCTGCCAGGTGTAATCACTGCATTATTCTGCCTCTAACTGAAGTAGGGCTAAAGTGAACCTCTTCTCCCTCCTACCAAATGGCTCCCTTGCTCCTGGTATGACCCTAGGACAGAGCCAATGGCATGATCCTGATGTGCTCTATCTCAAGAAGTTATTGTTTCTGCTGCAGAGAGGTTATCTTGATATCAAGTGAGCTATCTTTGCATTTATTAGAATCATTGCATTCTAACATCACGTAGGCCCCAAAACGCTGAACGTCACATTTTCGAAACGTGGAAGAGTGTGTTTATCCAACAAGGCCACTCCATGTCAGAGAGCCTGACACATACCTCATTAAGCGTCACCTTTACCATGTATATAACAGATGAATGAAAGACGCAAAGGTCTCAGGAGTGGGCGTTGTTCAATTAGAAATCACGTTCAGTGAGGCCACTGTGTCCTGGCATGATTGATAGAGCAGTTATCTGCCCTGCAAAGAGGTATTTGCTTTTAATTAACCAAAGAAAAATGGGAAATTATGCCTGGGCCAGAAAATCAAGGGCAGGAAGCCATGGTGCATTCCTGTGTTACGTGAGCCATGGAATGGGTTGCGGCAGGCACGTGACAGAATATGGATCTTCGGCATTTGCAGGAGAAGGTGAACTATATCAGAAGGGCCTGTTACTCATCA